TTACTTAGCACAATCTATTTACACTGTGTATCTCGGAACCTTAATATAAATATTTCAATAGAATTGCTACAATACATGCTGTAATCATCATTTTCTAACAGACGCACAATCTTGCAATCGAACGTTCAATTTATCCGTTGTCGTACAATCCTATAATCCTAACCTAATTCGGGGCTGCACTAACATTTATGTAAGATTTCTGTAGTATATAGTATTATTGCGATACAGAAATCTATTTTTATCCATTTAACAGTTAATGTTGATAATATTCATCAAGAATTGTACAGCGAAATAGATGATGATGATAATGTCAGCTTGAGTTAACTACAAGGATTTTCAGAATAACATTAAAGCTCTTATTCTTTATCTGAGATTGTTATTGTTGTCATTGGAAATGATAGAAAATAAATAAGATCTTTCCTGTTCGGATGATTTGAGTTATAGTCTGTCGTTTTTCATACTATGTTTATGCTTTAGGCTCCGTATAAAGGCAAACTGGTATTGTGATTTGTATGTCCGAATACAGTGTTATACGCGTATAAATGTATTTACTTTGATGTACAGTTTTGATCGATATTATAATTCATTTAAATACTGCAGCTTGTAGCAGAGTATAGAAGTTACCGGTTAGAACTAAAGATTGCTGGTATAAAGCGTATTAATTAAATCACTTTTACTTTGGTATTACAGTCCCATTTTCTAGCATGATTTTGAAATTACGCATACAACTGCACGATGATTTGGTTCATTCTCAATTCCTTTAGATCGTCTAGTATCCTTTCATTTTAAATAATTCATGTATAATTAATAGGATGAATAGTAACGTATATCTATCGTTGCCATTCATAGAGTCATCATGTTATAATCATGACAAACTGCATTTCATATACACCATTACAACACCAAAATAGGATAGTTCGGTAAGGGCTATCGCAGCTTTCATCATTCCGATCATGGAGGTAAAATCGACCTTTCCCTACTTTATCTCTGTGATTGCAATATCTAACGTAGTCAATAGCGCAGCCTCTTCATCGCCTACCACAGCCATTTTCATTGACATAATCATTATCATACAGTCTGTAAGAAAGCAGGGACTACTGTCCTCCAAGAAAGAAAGAAACTAACCCCCATAGCTTTCTTGGAGAAGTCCCTGTATCAGGTAGTTTATGATTATTGCAAGGCAGGGCGGGCCACTTGCACTTTAAGGCGTACTATAGCATACTGTACTGTACTGTACTGGACTGTATTGATGATGGGGTTGTTGTATACAGTATATAGACAGTAATTTACAGTACTTTACTCTACGACGTACTGTACTGTACAGTACTGAATTAAAGGTGCCGACTCATACAGTAAACAGTATCAAATCTCGGACGATATTGAGAGTTCAAGATGGCGAGGTGTGGAGGTAGTCCAATGAGTTACTAACAACCGCCTTCTTAAGCGAAAGATTGGCCAAAATTGGTATTCCTTTTACTCTTTACTTGCATGACATTCAGTACTCCTTAATCATATTTCCTACTGTTTTCATCAATTGTCTAGTAAAGTCCATTGCCAACATTAATTCATTGTTTATACAGTGAATAAGTCTATCATTGGATATCTGGTGTGTAGTAGAGACCCTCGAAGATTGTTACTCGCAAATTACTCTAGCCTTCCATCATCGCTATGAAGTATCAACTGGTATTGGAATGGATTTCTTTCTTACTCAGTATTGTCTTTCTATCATGCCAGTTAGGATTAATTGGCGTTTTTTTCAGCTTGTATATTAATTCAACATGGCTATTATGGTATATACCTGGAGCTATCGTATTAATCTATTGGTCTATCGTCACTTTTAGACCTATTAAATTTGCAACCAAAACTGATTCTAACAACCTTCGTGATACAATGTCACTCTGTTATATTACCTGGTTGATCTATTGCTTGAATTTAATACCCCAAGTAATATTGCTGTTTGTGAACGTAACTGATTTATTAGAGAGGAAATTCTATTTTGGCCCAAGAATGCTTAAACTAGCTCTAAGTTGTACCCCGTTTTTATTCGTAGTCTTTGTCTATGCTCATCATAATCGAAATGAATCGCAATTTCGCAATTATTATGTGGGATATCTAGCCAACGAAGTAACTTTAGATCTATTCGATGGCGTGGAAATATTGGAGAATTTATTTGTTGATGATGAAGAATTTACTGTTTCATTATCTATTAAGGTCATATTACTTATCTTGTCGAGTATTAACTTCCTTTTGCCAGCCATTGCATTATACGATTTACATATGTCACGCCGTTCTAATCAAGTAACATTTAAGATTATTTACAAAATATGTAGCTTGATTGTGCTCAATATACCTTTCTTGATTTTAAGAATAATCTTATGGCGTAGGTATCACAAAGATATTTCAGTATTGTTTATGAAAAATATCATTATAACCGCATTAAATAGTGACGAATTATTGCATTATTACTTCATCGAAAGACATGCATCCCCTGATAAGTCAGCTACGATACCACATCAAGGTGTACGGCATATCGAGAGTCGAGTATAGTCTATGATCTATTTCCATTTCAAAACTAGCAAAGTAAGGACTGTATTATAGTTAAAGCCAAATTACTGCAATCAAGTTGCATATGCTTTATTAAAGGAGCGACTTGTACAACACAAATAATTTCATTGATATTGTTGTTAAATAATTAAACATACGTTCTCTTTGCATATATGATTTGATGCTCTGTTTTTTATAGTAAATTTTTAAATGGCGACTTGATAACTTTTGCCTAGATATCTAAAAGAATAAATTGTGAATTTATCTGTGGGATGAATATTGAATTAAATTATTTCTAACTTGTTACTTCAAACACTTTCTAAGACATTATCATTACATAGATTGAATCATGTTTTATTTCATTTTTGGGTGTAGAAAGGAAAATATTGATGAATTTCGCTTAACAGATTCTAAAATCTCCATCATTGATATTGTAATAAATATGTATTAACCCTGTTGCTTTACTATAATTTTCAACGATTTTACATTAAATTATGTAAATGAATCAAGGACATTTTAAATTATAGTAAATTACGAATTATATAGTTTTTGATGGCTGAAATTGCAGCGTTGCATGTAGGATAATTAGATTTATGCCTCACTTAATTCCATATTTTCAATTTTAAATATTAGTGTCTACAAGCTTTATGGTAAACTGCTATATGTAGATGGAGATTTAACACTCATTACTCTTTAGCATTACTTACGTACTTACTATCCATGGTAAGCATAAATGCATATATATATTGGTAACCGTAAAATAGTAAGAATGAATATTATTATTATTTGCTCAACTTGTATGCGCAGTATAGGCAATATCATGCTCATAGAACGACTTCTTTACTCCCCCATTATAATCTCTCAAGTAATCACGTATATATCAATAACCTTATATTATGTAGTCCTCAAAACTTTCGCAGCTTTAATTACTGCTGATTAACAGTTGAAGAAGTACAACTTATTGGAGTTATATTGACAAGTAATTACTACTTCTACTGTAGAAACGCAATTTATAATTAGAACTGAGTACGGTGTTATCTTACTCATACTCAAATGCTAAATCTAACATTTAACCGATCTAAAATCATTATTGCCTTACTTTATGCACATGTTGCTATCCACAGTGCTATATTGCATATAAGATCTACTGTTTCTTACTTAATTATTACCACAAGAAGACACCAAATCTTATGATTATCAAGTTCTCACATATTAATTATTTATTTTATTTATATAAAAAATAATCCAGCATAGTACCATTTTAGGATATTTTTGCTTATGTTCAGTCAAGGAAATCTAGGTAATTCCAAGATGATAAAAGAAAATCTTCCGTAAAGTAGTTGATTAGCCAAAACAACATCAAAATTTGCTGACTCTACTACGATAGTGCCATAGTACTGAAATAATTATTATTGACTTAATCTACAGGTTTATTTGCTATATTTTAAAATTTCTTAACACAATGTAAACGTATACATGAAACATTAATATCGTCTCAACACTACCTGGCATCTACACCAAAATTTGTGAGCTAAAGCTTTGTTTGATTTTTAAAATCTTAGGTACAGAGTGTGACAAGTAATTTAATGCACATGGCAATCCTGACACAAATCTATTTTACTTTTCAAATAAGAAATAACAATTAAACTACAGCCAAAATTTAGGAAGGGAACAACATTAGATTTGTTCCCTGAGAATAAAACATAAAATAAGCAATTAGATATACAAGTACAGTCATTACGATTTCTAAGGGCAAAAGTCATCTGTACATCTGGCCAATAGGCCATCGTAATTACTTCATCTAGCGTAGTTTACAATAACATACTCTAACAGAAGGGCTATACAGTAGAATTACGCGTCAAGTATCTAAATTACATTAATCTTATTTTAAAATTATTTGAACACTACTCCACCTTATTGCTTTTCCTTGTTTATCACGAATGTATCGACGATAAAACTCTGCCTAATATAATTTAGTACATTTACAAGGTAGCCTAGGTTCAATATTAGGCATTTCAACAAATACCATAATGCCTTGGAAACGTCTTTCTATCAAGTTATTTTCATACAACTAATACCCTTATTCACCTTAAATACTGTATGAATTAAATTTAGCTCGATCGATTGACGCCCGCCAATGTCTAATCTCTGTAAGACACCCAACAGCATACGATGTATTATGTTGCAAAGACAGTAACTTCTTTAAAATATGCAAAACCGTAAATAAACTTTTCGTAAGATCGAGTTTAAAACAATTTACATTTATAATACACGCCAATAATAGCCTATAACGCCAGACGAATGCCGCTGCATTGTTTGTGAAGCAGTCTTAGTTTGCAAGGCTTTAAGAATAAATATAAAATCGGTGCTGGCCGCGCTGACTAACGGTAGTTAATCTTTCGAGATTTCTAGCTAACCTTTTTCTATTAGTCATTTAATCCAAAATTTTGATAAATTTAATATAAAGTGCGTAAACTTATTAAAACAGAGCAAAATAGATACGAAATAGTCACCTTTAATGTCTTTTTACGCTTCCAACAATCAGGAAAATTTTTCTTGTGTTCTTCAGCTAGAATTCTTGCCTTTTCGGCGTATTGCTGTCTTTCTGTCGTCTCCATTGATTTCCATTTATCACCTAAAATAACGCTTATGGCCCTGAAAAAACGGTAATCGATTAATATTTAATCTGCCTGCAGCGCAACGTCCATTAGGCAATAAAATATGATAATGCTAAAAATTGATACCTATTATCCTTGCCAGGATGTGCTTGAGTAATTTCTACTCGATACTTTTTGGCGAATAGCATGAATGCGTTCATAGGTCGTTTTGCACGATCTGATTGCATCCGACTTTGCTGGTTAGAGCTATTGCTACCGTTATCGCTTCCATTGCTTTTCTTGGAAGGAGAACCCATAGGCGACTCATCCGATTTATATTTCTGGTAAAGCATAGGTATAACATGACTATTATTAATATTCGATAACAAATAATACGAATTGCATGCGTAGCTGTTTCATACCATCAAAATATAAAGCACATACACACACAAATAAAAAAATAAACATTAGCTATAGCGTATAAGTTCCGTACTTTCGCCATCCCCATCCGACTTAACGTTAAAGCAGCAGAAGAGTCCATTGCCGTTAAATTTAATCTACAAGAAAAGTAAGTATATAAAGGATATCATTCAACAAGAAAGCTAACATTTGATTAAAGCATCGTGAATTATGCTACATATTTAAATTAAATAAATGTACAAAGGTGGTTAAATGTATATACGCACTTATCGAACTTGAAAGCTTCAGCATTTGATGGAGGCGGTATACAAACATCATTGATTTTCAAGAATTTGCTATTAATTCCATATTGTGAATTGGTTAATTCCGGACAAAATGATGACCAGCCTTTTTCTTTTACATAAAAAGGATGGTCTGCTAGGCATCTAGCAGCTATTCGCGGCTGACCATTGACAGTTGATGAGAATCGCATAATTAATAAATTTTTTCTTTTTCGTTTATCTGAATTGCCTTTAATCTCCTTTACTTCCATAAGCTTCAACCCGAACGGTGCATAAGTTGTAGGCCCCTCTATCTGGCCCAATTGCCTCACTAGCTTATCGTTTTTACCTAATTCTTCAGCAGCGATCCATGATACTTGTTGATTAGATGCTGAAAATTTAATTTTAGTGCCCTTCATGAAGCACAACCAAGACGGAGTAATGGAAGCATGATCGCCACCAAATTCTCCCTTTGATTCCATTGCTTCTTTTCGAATAATTTGACCACTCCCTAATAGATTATAATCACTATTACCTCTCCTTTTTAATTGATCTTCAAGGGTATTTATTTGATCTACAAATAATAGTAAGCTTTTTAAAAAAATAGTGATATCCATTGTATGTGTCAATTACAGTCGATAATGATTGAATAATCCCACTCTACAGTCCGCTATCATCACTGCACTAGTTATGATTTACTTGTAACTGACAACAAATTCCGATCGAAGATAAAGGAATCGGTTGTTGATTAATTAAAATAGGTAAGCACCTCGATTTTTGGCAGCATTTTGGTAGGTAGCTTGCATCAACGGGCTTTGCGGACTAGTAGCGATGATTGCCAAATCGGTTAGCCAACTTAGATTATTAGGACTTGGTAAAGGATTGTTGATACCAGTGGAATAATGAGAACAGATGTCCAGAGCAGGTGGAATGATTCTGGACTTTTTAGATTTCATATCACTTCCGATATCGCCTGTTGTCATTGATGATGATACAGAGTAATTAGCAACATTGATAACATAATTACGATCAAATTTGATCACAATCCATTTTTTGAGTTGCACTTTTTTTCTTCTAATTAATTTGATAATGACACTAGGAAGATAATGGATGAAAGTTCAAAATGAACCAGTACAAGGTGTGTGATATTTATTATATCGTATCCACTGTAACATAATGACTACTTTGTTGTTGTTCTACTCTTCTGTTGGTCAGGTATGCCTCAAGAAGATATCAAGTCTACCATAATTGCAAGTACTGATGCAGTTAATTGGTTAAATTTGGGCAAAGATTATGGCATTTCACATACCAAGATGACGCATAAAACATAAGTTATTAAACAAACAAACAACTTGGTGGCAGTTAGCCTGATCAATCATGTCTTGATTACTCTTAGAGTCTCTCTAACATGCGTGTAAACATAGCCCAAGATAGCATTGGTCAAGTACGATTGTCATCAGTGGGTATAATCCATCAATAAACAAGATCCTAAATGCAATTAAGTTACTGCACGGTGTGTTGACATTCAACTAATATTACATATTGGTAGGTATTAATCATTTATAACTGGTACGACTACTGTATGCATTAATGGTCTGATGCCAGCTATTGATGGTACTTTTACTTTTAACCTATCCGCCTACAAGATCTCGGAGTTCTTCTTATCCGCCCCTACGCAAGATGTATTCCTAGTCTATTACTGAAGTAGTAAATCAAAGAAGGAGGTGTGATGGTAGACAGTCCTGTGCTTTACTGTCGGTTAAGCATAAAGCAGTACGGGCTGCATACACCGTATACTCCTCCAAAGTCTATCGAAAGGTATGGACTGGACTAAATCAATGTTGGGCATTTTGATAGCGATACTTGTTCATATCAATGTATCGGCGGCACATCAACGGCAGTGTCGACAGCCGCCTAGACGACCGGACTATGACCAACGGTAAACAACAACGTACTTGTGTTAAGTTAAGAGTGAAATTTTCTTTGGACTTGTACCATGTTGAAGGTTGACTTTCACGTAACGGCTTTTCGATTCTTTAGGCTAAAATAAATATAGTAAGCTAAAGTCGCCCACATCGACTTAGAATTGTTTTTAACGTTAACAAGAGCAGTTGTAAAATACCATCAGTGTAGACATAGATATCGGCCATTCAACGACAAAAAGTGTTTTTGATAGTCGTACACTATGTACCGTAGAGTAGAGAGAATGAAAAGGATCTTTGGAAAGGAAAAAAACTACTCCTGTCCTGTAGACTGTATACTGTATGCAGTGTACAGCAGAGGAAAATTTCGAGTAAAATTGATCATAATTTGCATCATTCATGTAGCAAGGTAAAATGAATACCTAGATGCATGATGACAATTAAAGCATCACCATATCGAACGATAGTGATAGGGGTGTAGACTTATGAGTGCACGATTGGCATTATACTGCAGCCCAGGAATAATTGATGCATCTAGGCTACGTTCAAGTTCATTCAGTGAATGTGGATTGCGTACCACATGCTGCTCTGCTTTGTTGCGTCTAGATCATACGCATACAGTACAGTAGGCGTACGGTGTTTTTATCACTGTCTGCTAGCCCTTCATAAAGGTAAGTAAAAGATAGGGTAAAAAGAAAAGCGTTGATCGTAGTCTAGCCGATCTTGCAGTATATGACTACCCTATCGCAGTCGATAGACAGAGACTATAGAGATTTCTATCAACGTCTATCACGAGCTGGATGTCGATTTATTTCACTGTGTGACTGTTGAGCAGTTCAGTACTTTACACTGTAGAGCAAATTCATCGACCCTCTTATTGAATACTATACTGTACAGTAGAAACAGTACTGATAGCGTGTATAGTACTGTATATGCCTAGAAAAAACCTTATAATGCACCGTAGTCAACTGTACTGGAGAGTGTACTGTACAGTACGTTAATTGAATTTCAACGTGACGTGGTACTGTACAGTACGTGCTACTGTACTGTAACGTCCAACATGAAAAGAGAATATGGCATAAGCAATGACGGAAAAATTGAGAAAAAAATTACACTGCCATTTCATTGTCATTTTATCGTCAAATACTTGCAAATGAAATTCTATCTTCTAAGATTGTATCAAAAATGCTGTACTGGCCACAGTACTACTCAAGCTTACAAAACAACATTCATGGGTGATGAAAATTCAATTCAATACCAACACGGTAGAAACATGCTATCACGGTACCAACTAGTAGCAAGGCAAACAACAACAAAAAAAAGCACTTTTGCTAAATCCATCCGTCAATTTTGAAAATAGTCAAAATAAATAAAATTTCATCCTGACCTGGGCAAAAGAGTATCACAACGTCATTGATCATAATAGAATAAATTTGAAGCATGAATAATGCAAAATATGGGGTATACAACAGCTGCAATAGTTTGAATGAACTTCACAGTTGTCCATATGATACATTTCACTACAGTTAATGTTGTTTTTCTGCCGTCAAGAGCTGTGCGTTTACTTTTGCCTGCTATCAATACAAGCCCTATAAGCTTACCTAGTCCATAAAACGATACTGTCGTATCTGATCGGCTAGTTCCACTATTGAGCAAGTCTGCTATATTGGATGTATCCTTACTTTGTGTTATGCCAAAGTCTACATCATGTTGAAGCGGCGTATCCGACGACAGTAGGTATGGATCATCACTTTTCACACGACCCATTTTAGCGTCGTAGCCGATTGAATGAAAATTAGACGGTTGTGCAAATTTTCCCAGATTCTATCAAGATTAAAAGAATTTGAACATGATGGCATTAAACTATGCTTAACGAGCAAAGTCCTTCATTATTTTCGCATAAAAATGCGGCAATCAGTTGTGCATATTTCCAATGGAAATTCAACACCTTACCTTCGTCGCATCTTCCGCCATTTTGAATCTTTATGGACTGTCTTGTTTTTTCCTTTCGTTACATGATCTGTTGTTGTGCGAGTGCAACACAGCGGAAACATCCCGTCCTGTACTATACACTACTATACGATATAGTACGCGTCAGCTACAAAAGAGTATAGTAGAGTACAGTCTCTTTTTATCATACTGTACTGTATCTTACAGTACTATATACTGTAGACTCACAACGCCAACGCGCTCAAAAAGTCACCACATAAGATTAGACTAGTGGCTAGCCACTCACCCAGCAGTCTCCCTGTGTACAGTAAAGTACTGTACAGTACAGTACAGTACTGTACAAAGCTGACCAGCAGGCTGTGCTGTGGAAAAACTTGTGCAGCACTGTACTGTACAGTGTACAGTCTACTGTCTACTGTAGTGTACAAGTTCTTGACAATCAGGTCTGTGTATGCGCTAGTCTTTTGTTTACGGAACTGCCAGAAAAACACAAGACAATAATGTAGCGCTGCACTGCTGCAGTACTACAAAGGTCCATGATTCTCTGAATCGTTTTTTTCTACTTTTAGTCATTGGACTCATAACTGTTACGTTCGTGGAATCGGTAGTAGGTTTCATTAGCAAATACGGTACAGTACTACTGTACAGTACTGTACATCTACCGTATACTGTACTGTACTGTGCGGTAGCGTAGAACAATAACCACACTAGCCACATACAGTACAGTACTGTGGGAACTCTCTGGTGCACAGTGTACAGTACGTTGTACTGTACTGTAGGCAAATTCTTGTACTGTACGGTACAGTACTGTACAGTACATACCGCACTGTCCGTACTGTACATTGTACACTGTACAGTACAGTACTGTACGCTATTGGGCTACCCTAGCCCAGTAAAGTGTACTGTAGCAGTACTGTAGACTTGCAACCAAATTGAAAACCAACCGATGCGAGCAAATCCCAAATTGGGGCTGTGGTGGATCTTCATTCAAACACTATACAGAATAGGATGACAAATTAATAAGGTATCAGCAATATTATAAATGACAGTTGCATTTTAATGCACGCAACATCGCTCATGATCGCTGACCCTAAAGTTAACCTACGTGTGGAATGCAGTATTCGTTGAGAAATCTCCGAAGATGGTTTGACTTGAGGCAGTTGAAATAAGATCAAGCAGGCACAGCTCTTCTTCAATTCGATACGCGTCACTTGCAAAAAAAAACAAAAATACAAAACAATATTTGATCATCTGTACGTGCAGAGTACTCTAAACGTGTCAATACAAAGTGAAATTCATGATTGGAGCTCAGTACTACAATCTAAGAGGTAAGCTGATCATCGATGATGAATAGCTTGTAGCAGAATAATAGTAATATATATAGGCAATATATACTGTAATTAAGATTCAACTACTGTTACTGTAAGACACTGATTACATTCTACGATTATTGACTAGTATTCTTTCCTTGTAATACCATTAGATTGCCGTTGCTTTCTATGTGGTAATGTTGGCCACGTTAGTGCCTATTGTCCATTTGAAGACGACTTATTCAACAAAATTGCTTCTGGTATCTCATTATTGTTCAATGATATCGCTAGTGTTTCGGTGATACGATGGATAAAATAAAATTTGGCGTACAGTACAACCGTCTATCATGAATCAGTATCTTGTTGCTTTCGTATTGTTACGATGTACACATACTTAAATCTATTTGCCTATACATTAACTCAACTAGTCCAACTTAAAGTGACAGTAGTGTAGCGTTATCACTTGTTATGATAGAGTATCATTAACCTAATGATCAAATTATAATTATTAAATGTAGCTCCGGCTTGTTATAAATGTGGTTTAACAAATCACTCTTCTATCAATTGTCCAAATTATACGGAAGGTTAGAGACTTCTCAACATACGTATATTGTAGTGCCTTAATGACAACTAATTTTTTTAATAATAGATATACTCTTAGGTAGTAGTCCTTGTAGATACACTACTTAAGGTACTACAGCGTAGTTTACTTACGCAACTGGGTTTGAATTTTAAACACTTAAAACATTCCAATTTATTTACACAATACATTCATATCTCATCACAATTTTATTCCTACATACGCGTAAAAATGAGACACATTCCAGGTCTAAAAAAGCATACGCTTGGATAAATATACTATAGTAGTTGTTGAACTTGGTTGCTCTTATACTATCATAGATCGGCGCTGTTATAAATGCCATAAAGTAGGCCACTTAGCGAGCCACTGTACAGAACCGAGAAGAAACACCTATCTTCAAGATGGTAAGAATCGAAATCTTTGCAATGCCCATAAATCTGTAGTGCTGTAGGCTGGTAGTTGATTCCGGATTTGTAGAGGCGTAGATAGTAGTGAATCTCATTGCATCTTTATCTTACTTTTTGAAATATCGTTTGTCTGGTAATATTTGCAGGTCAATATTATAGCTGCAACGGAGCTAGCCATTTAGGAGAAAAATGCAAAGACCAAAAAGGAGATACGTATCTTCAAAATTGCAAGAACAGAAATGTTACTATTACTTCTAAATCTTTAATGGGTTAGTACCGTATATTAATTTCAGATCTACAGAAGGATATAAGCTTGCATGCTATATATAGCAATTAATTATTTTTACTAATTGTAAACCTTAGACCTCTTAATATCATTTTTATAAATGTAATAACATTGCTTACATTATAAAATGTAAAGAGCTGAAAGATCCAAACTTTCTAAATTGTTCATAAACTTTCATTTCTGAATTTTATTATCTGTCCTATAAACTACAGTATTTCTTAACCGGCGAAAATAATAAGTCATAATTTGCCAGATGATCAATATGAAAAGTTCACTCTTTTTCATAACTTAATGTATCATCATCTATTTTGTACATTACTAAATGATAGAAAAATTATCTCCGCAACATGAAAAAAATGAGGAGGTAACACCACAAACTGGAAATAATCTAGAAACGATATACAAGAAAATTGACGACAATGCACAAACTAACAAATCGGAGGAACTGCTTCGTGAAGAAAACCTTCACAAAAGACCTCGACTGGAAAGAGAAGTGCATGACAAATTGCAAACTGATAGAATGTATAATAATAACTTATATACACACGCAGATGAAAGTACGTGTTTTAAGCCAATACTGATTGCAGAAGATACGTTATTAAGCCATAAACCCGTAACCGAGCAAGTACTTGATAAACCAATGACGCATGGTAAGGCGATCAATAATCGAAACAATGGCTTAAATTATGAGAATTTGCAAGGCACCAAGGCTGGAATAAATAAGTTAACGCGTATCACAGAAAGTAGCATTTCGAAAAAGGTTGATGAGGATGTACAATGTTATCGCTGTAAAGGCCGAGGACATTACGCTCGCGATTGCCGGAATATAGTGTGTTACCGTTGTGGAAGTCGAGGACACTACGCCTACACTTGCAAAAGTTTGGTTTTTAAGAAGTGACTAGTAATTTATAATTTTTCTTCTGTGTTCGACCTATACTATTCTATTCAAAATTTGTATATATTTTACAATGCCCAATGCAATGTATATACATAGGTAAGATGCTACTTGGTAATTAATTGAAGGAAATTTTGAAGTTAATTTCTTCTATGAACTTCATCGACCGATACTTCCTGTTTATGAGCGATTTGCAATTTTATATGACCTATTAGAAATCGTTGCATGATTACCAAATACGGAACAAAAATAATAAAATATTACTTGAATTCCTATAGTTACATCCGGTGATTTTTTTTAGATAAACGAGCACTGACAATTAAAGATGTTTCTATTTAGTTACGACTAGCCTTAGCTGCTAAGACTTTGCTGCTGAATTGGACGATTTCGGATAAATTACAGGATCTAAGGGCATATTGCATTTTAAAGTGAGCTTTAATGATTTATTGAAAATTGCGCACTGGCACTGGATTGTGTGCTCGAAGCTAATTTCGATATCTATTAGCTCTACCGTACACCGTTCAAAAATTGAAGATGATCCTATTTACATATCCGTAGTTTCTACTAATTTATCAAGGCTATATCTTACTCATCTACAGTATTTATGGTCTTAAGGACAACCTTTTGCTATTTATTAAAAGTATAAGAGATCCTGCTAAAGTACAGTACTCCGGTAAAAATTAAATATAATAATTATTTTTAGCTCTAGATGTTTCTGATTATAATTATTATCATCGGTGTTAATTCTGAAGTTACGCATCAATATAAAAACATGTACGTCGTATGATTATATTGCATTATAATCTTTTATCACTATTGCAATGGATCTGGAAGCACGCAAATTTTGTGTAGCTAGTTCTGGATACTTTTGGTTGCACATTGCACAATCAATATTCTCAGCTATTATATTTTGAGTGTTATTATTTCATATTCTACTAGAGAAGAAGAGGAAAACATCAAATATAGGCAGTATCATTGCTATAAAGTATCGAAGATATGACTTTTGTACAATCTTTGCAATAACTTGCACAATTCTAGCTAATTTACCCTAATTCTCCCGTACTAAAAAATAAATCGGCTAAAAATTCTCTTTTACAAGTGCAACTCACCGTAAGTCGGTGTAGAACGTTTTACATAGGATATGACTGAAACACTTTACTATCCTTTACGAAGTCATGTCTTGGTTTCATTGAAAAACAAAGTATAAATTTATTCATTCATCACTACTGAATTTATTGCAAAATTTCGCAATTCAACTCAATCGTAAGCTTGTAAGATATTATCCGAGCATATTAATTACTAGGTAGAATCTATGTCGACATAAACAGCATTGATAGTTCAAATTGGAAAAGCTATTCGATGACATCTTTGGAGATTTCGGCTTTTTAAGGGCTTACTATAGGATCTCTATCTATGTATGAGTATTGTGGCTAGTTAAGTATGAATTAACTCTTAATCAGCTCTGCGCATGTCAGTATCATTATTCCAAGAAGAAGCAACATGGTAAGAGAGGCTCGCCATTGCACTTCGAGATTTAAACTTGCTTTCCTTTCTCTCTCTTTCTCTCTTTCTCTCTTTTACTGTCTCTCCCTCTCCTACCTTCTTCCTCTCTTTATACTGAACAGAATTTATATCAAATCGTTACTTTTGCATTGTTATAAATGTAATGATGTAAATTACTCAAGTGTCACAATGACTGATCTTGAAGCACGACCTTAATTTTATTTGTAGCTAAGAAGACAAGTACGTGAAAGGAAGGAGTATATTTATAGGAAAGCTAAGGAAGAGCAGGAGAGAACTATCCATGAAAAGAAGAAGAAATTAAAGGCAGCCATAGACTGTAAGTAACCTCTTTCTGCGATTTGTTAACCCAGTTGTAAAAGCTGATATTGCGACGTATTTGAGCTGAATATAACGCATGTGTAGCCAGAGATCCTCGTATCCCTGCAGTCTGCCTCAACAAGTTGTCGCTCACACTTTGACTAATGGCGACTGTAGCGATAGTAGTTAGCTAATGTAACAGTAAAATTAAATTATAACGTATTTGAGCTAAATATTTATTTATGGGTATGTCGAGAGATATACGTGTGCCTTTAATATATTAAAGCTATCAGTTACATTTTTGCCAACGCCAACTGCAATAATCATAGTTAGCTAATAGAACGTTAAAACTAAATTATAACGTATGTAAGCTAAATATTATGCATACGAATATGTGAATGGAAATACGGGTGGGTGTCTTAATATACTATCACATACATTTTTACCAATACCAACTGTAGTAATCGTAGTTAGCTAATTGAATAGTAAACTAATTTATAACACATTTAAGCTAAGTACTTTGTATACGTACTAGTATACAGATACTGTACAAAGCGTAAATATCGTAAGTTATTGCTTGTATTCTCGTGAACGTAGTGCTGATCATGGAAGGTCTACGAACAGAAATTGCAGTGTATTGGACCTAAATAAGTATATTGTGCACTACTATGCATGTGCTGATGCAATAAGTATCGTAGGGTATCGCGAAAGTACAGCTGTACTTTCGCGAACTAAATAATTGTAATCATAGATAATCTAGCAGCAAACTAAAATTTTTACTAAATTTGAGCTAAATATGCATGTTATCAGTACGTAGATGCAAGGCACAGACATCATTTAGCTAGTATTTTACTCTTAGGAACCTAATTTTAATTATAGAAATTTTAGTTAAGATATGCTAGCTGTAAACCGAGATTGAAAGGTAATTCAACATAGTATCACTTGGTTTTGGAATTGCTGCCGTGACTTTTCAAGTTTCTGCACATACGTAGCATTTATTACACCATCAACACAGTAGTAATTAATGATCGATCGTTACTATGCTCTAGCGGGCAAGCCAATCCCAACAGAATTAAGAAAGGAAGAAGCAGAACTACGTAAAGAGCTTGAATTTGATGATAGAAATACCGATAGTAAGTATCATTAATTTAAACGTTAAAGAACTATCTAGCCAATTGGTGCAATGACAATTTGCAGACAAAATCCACTAATCTATGCTAAGAACTTACTACGAATTGATATACAAACTTCTGTATAGTCTGGTTATATCACAGACTTCGGATGGATAATCTCTAGAAAATAATACTGTACGAATTATAAAATGACTATCATAATTGAATAATTACAGCTTCATTTCATCTCTGACATAATCCAGTACAGATAAATTGTATTAACGAAATCAACTACAAGTGTATCAATACCAGTAGATATCAACTTTCACCTTGTAATACATGCCTATGCTATTCTAATTATATAGAAGATTTTCTGAGTGTAAGTGAAAGGGTAGAATGCAGCAGCGCACATTCTATTAGAACCCGAGTGCGATAGCATAAATGGAGACAACTATGATCGATTTACTATTAGCGTAATAAGAATTTTAATGCTGATTTCGATATCACTTTCGATCAATTAAGAATATATAGAAGATCGTGATGATGAATATAAATGGGCTGGCGTAAATGATCCAAGTATAATGATCACAACATCTCATGAACCTAGTTCAAAATTAAAGCAATTCGCGAAGGTTTGCAAACTGAATAACTATATTTGTGCATTCGTTGCAATTAGATATACATGTTCCTGCATAATGTATACGGTATTTCATATTACTGCAGTAGGTATTTGCAATACTTGCTGCAAATAAAGATATATAAACTGAATAAAAATAATTATCTACATCGTCATCATCACAACCACTGATACCATTACAGCATCGTTTATTGAATTAAGAGTTAACTACCTATACAGTCGTACAAAACTTAATTCAGAATATTAACCCGATACAGTATTTCATTCGATATAGCCATTCTCATATTTTAGAAATAAGCCTTATGACATACATTAATGTAATGAAAATCTTATATTTTTATTTATTGAAGGAAATGAAATTAATATTTCCAAATTGTCAACGAATGAATCGCGGTAATCATGTACTGAGCGAACTAATTCAAGCCTGCAGAGCGAATAATGTGACTGATTTAATTATTGTACATGAACACAGAGGTCAACCAGGTAAAATATCTTTTAAGCGGCTATACATTAAATGTATCGTCGTATATATATGCTTAAAGAGTTACCAGATTTATCTATAAATCGAAATATCAACAATATTTATTTAATATTCCGTATCATTTTATAGATGGTATGATTGTATCTCATCTTCCTTACGGTCCAACGGCTTATTTTACTCTATCTAATGTTGTAATGAGACACGATATTGAAAACATTGGTCCTATGTCTGAAGCCTATCCACATCTAATCTTTCATAAATTTTCATCTAAACTTGGCTTAAGGGTACGTTGTTAAATTTTTTTGAAATATATATCTAAGATAGACTATACAGTACCCTGCTTTAAAGTTTTATGGATCTTCTAATGGACTCCAATTTATAGGTTAAAAATATATTACGGTACCTATTTCCAGTTCCAAAAGAAAGCACACGACGAATTATCACCTTTGCAAATGATGATGATTTTATCTCTTTTAGGTTTGTTTGGCGGCATTATAAGAGTATGCTGTATTACAAAAATATATATATAAGCATGCATTAGATGTTTTTCTAACTTTTTACGGAACATCTGTAGACATCACGTTTACAAAAGAGCCGAAGGCAATATCGAGTTAATGGAAGTTGGTCCAAGATTTGAAATGAAACGTTCGTATGATAGATAAATATGTAGACATTAAGTGTATATCACCTTTAAATATTGATTACTTAATATATACTGCACGTAATTTACAAATTTATATGCTATGATACTGAATTTAACACTTGCCTGTACAATATTTTATAAACTAAAATTTCTATATTTATTTCATTAGTACTGAATAATTGTGCATTTCTTGGTTTTTTTATAGTCTTTGCAATAAGATTAGGCACTATCGACGAAGAAAATACAGCAGATGTTGAATGGAAAATTAGGCCGTATCTTAATACTGCCAAAAAAAGAAAATGGTTGGAAAGCTCAGATAGTTAACATTTGGTAGAAATGCTTTTGGACAATATTTGTTCGATTTGTACTATATGAAATTACATGGTGCGATGAAAAAAATATTTACCTTTGTAATTAGAATATTATTGTACCGTACGAATTTTAATGATTTGCTTTCTGAGATAATACATTATCACATCAAGATTTTTTATGCTTCTATAATAAAAATCTCCTTTAATACTACCTTTCACTATATCCTGTATTATTGTCAAATTCTTAAATTACATGACTTGCTCCCTTATATTAAAATAATCTGGTAAGGAGTCATGAAAATTATATTTGAATTTCTTGATAGAAATCAGGTTTGACTGCAATCAGGAGTAAAGTAACCGATCTTAGCCGCTATAATCCCTAGTATCAACTGTTTCTAAAAGACATTCAATACAGTCATACATAATACTATAGCTAAATTTCACGCTCTACTCTGCGGTTACGGTTTACAATCATCATTTTTATTATGAAAATAGATTAAATATGTATGCATCAAATGCTAATATATAATGACTAAAGATTTCAATTATCAAATGGAAAACTACTACCTTAAAATTAATGATTGATTAAGATGTATAAGTCATTAAACCTGAGTTAGGATCTATTAATCTTGGAATGAAACAAATTAACTCAGATGCCGTAGCTTAACAATAATGCAATTGTTTTGAATAGTGTGAGTTACCCAATTGCTCATATTAATGATTAAACATAAAAATAGCGACATTCAATTAACTGGAGTCTATCCCTTGGCACGGCTGACGATATAGATCAACTAGGAGATAGAATTCGAATAGTCAAGATTACAAGACCAAACATGTCCAGAAGTTTAACAGCTGGCCAAAACAAAAATAATTAATGATTTATGCCGTTTTTAGTATAATTAAGGACGGGTAACAATTATACGAGTAATATAGAGGTAGTTTATCTCAATAAATTTCTAATAGTTATGATACCCATTACTACATATTTTTGCTAATATCATAATTTTATAATTAAAGATAGTAAGTATGAGGTAATAATTACAATTTTTTCATTAAGGTTTGGATAATTGCATTAATAGCATTGAATTTATGGTAGGCGTACCTAATTACTGGTAGAGTGTCCTTTTACGGTAATTATTGCTATGGATACGACGATGTCTAATTATGTCAATGTAGATTTAGAAACCTCAGCGTAAATCTAAATGATTACTAGGTCCAATAGATTACAAATTAAGATATTAATCATCATCGCTGATGTCTAGGACAAGATTTTGATTTATCCAAACTATCATATACCGCTAGTACCAGTAATGATACTAATCAAAGATTAGGCGTCTTCGATCGATTTTTTCTTAATCTGTTATATACAACATTGGCAGATACCGCGTATTAATAAGCTTAAAAATGAGTTCTATTGTAAGTAATTAGATGTAATTAGCGGATAAATTAAATCGTTACAAATTAGTCTTATGGTGATTTGACATAAGGCTTAATCTATCAATCTAAACTAATTAGGTAATTCATATAAACGAACTCACTATAAATTACGAATTAATCAAGACATTTGTCAATAAGGTTGATGCAACAAATATTTACGCACAAAATTGATCGATATACTGTAGCAAACAGTGAATATTAAAATTATTGTGTTATCCTGTCGGCATACAATCATCCTTATGTTAGATCTATTCCTTTTTCTTACATTACGCTACAAAATCGTGAATTAGATTGTTTATTACGCTGATCTTTACTTTGATGACTGACTTTTTTCTCTGTAGGTGCAGGTTGTGGAACAGAATGGTCTATTCGACTTGATTTACCGAGAGATTTTCGCCTACCTTTACTTGCTGCTTCACTAACGATATTTTGTAATCGTTGTACTTCGTCATTAATTGAAGCTAATTCATCCTCCATTTCAACGATTTTCTGATTTTTTACTTCATCGCCTTGTTTATATTCTTTCAATTTATTACTTAGTGAGGTATTTTCTCTATTGGTTACATCTAATTTAGTTTGTAGCTCTTCAAGTTGCGCCCTTAAGTATAATTCCATTTCAGTAAATTCCGTAATTTGCCGTGATAAGTATTCTTGCTGAACCGTTAAAGCATTGGCTCTATTAGCTTGCTCACGTAAATGGATTAATTCAGTATAATTAACATCTTGCTTTAATTCGTCAAGTAAACTCTTTAGTTGTTGTATTTCATTATCTTTTTGCTCAACTTGTTTTTCATACTGCAATAGGCGATATTGTTGTTCACTGGCTTCTTCTAAATTATGCTTTTCCAACAACCCTTTCAATTGTTCTATTTCAGCGTCTTTTTCTCGTAATTTATTATCCATATCTAATAGCATTTGATCATGCTGTTGAACCATTGTGGCTTTATTTCGATCTAGTAATTCCCTCAATCGATTCATTTCTTCATCTTGACTACTGCTACTAACAGATTGTTCTGAAATATCATTTTTATTTTCTGCATCAGGCTGATTAACTTCACTTTGTATTAAATTTTCCGATTTTATTAAATCATCGTCATTACTTTCATGTTGTTGCCCATCAACTTGTTCAATATGAATTGTTGGACAATTTTCTTGTTCATCATTTTGTCGTTTTTCTACAATACCATGATGGCTAGATGAATTGGATCGGATGGAATGTTGATCATTTTTATCTTTTTCTTCTTTATCGTCTTGATTAAGATGGGTAGGAATTGGTGATGATCGATTACTATTAATAGTATCGTGGGAATGAAAATTAACCTCGTCTTGATTTGTGTTATCCTTGGCTATATTAACGTCACTATGATGACTATAATGATCATCGTGAATGCTGCCTTTGTCCGGTTGGATATCTATTTCAACTTGATGCGATGGTGATGTTTGCCTAAGATTTTCAACACTGCTAGGCTTAACACTTCCATCATCGCCTAATGGAGCCTGGTATTGTTGTGTTACTATTTCTTCAACTACGGGTTGCGATGCTTCTCCGTTTTCACCCAATGGGGTTGTATGCTGCTGTGTTATTATTTCTTCAACTACGGGTTGCGATGCTTCTCCGTTTTCACCTAATGGGGTTGTATGCTGCTGTGTAATTGTCTCTTCTACCACATGTTGGGTCGGATGTAAATCTGCTTGTTCAACAATATCCTGCGACTGTTTCTTGGTAATCATTCGTTGATTCTCTGTTTCTGCTTCTTCGATTAATTCCTCGAAATCATCTTCGTATTGATCTTCAGCATAAGCATGATTATTCTGTTTTATATTATCTTGATAAGCGTCGTCTTGGTAGAAATCATTTAAATCATCGTTTTTTGCAGGTTGATTTTGATCGTGATCGATATTCGATGATGGGGTTGGAGAATGATGCTGGATGGGTTCTTCTTTTCTCTCTATAACATAGTTATCATCTTTAAATTCAGATAGTACATCGTCTGCTGATTTAAAATCGAGTGATTCAGATTGGAAAATAGCTTGAAGATCAATGCCATCTTGAGCACCCTGGTTTTGTAATTGTGACTGTAGTCGTTGGTAATAATTTGCTTGGTCTCCATTATTCAATGGCTCTTGACCATCACTTATAGGTTCTTTTCCCATAGTTGATTTAGTTTGTATTTCATTGCTTTGTTGGTTATCAGTTTCATCATCGATAACCATCTTTCCCTAATTCCTCTATTAGTACTAGAAATGGATAGTATAAAATAATTAAAATAGATTGTTTTGGCTAATAAACGACAATATCAGCAACAACGCAATGGGAATGGAAGAGAATTTCAATACTCTTGATTCGATTAATACAATTTCAAGTTTATATTTAAAGAAACCCCCTGCGATCGTTCTTTAAAATTGATACCACTTGATGTTGATGAGTGAAATATGAACGAACAAGTATCTCTTTTCTTCTTATTCTAAAAAAATCAATTTTAGACGCAAATTGATGGGTGCTAAAAGCGACTTTACAGTCCACTTAATTATATCAATGGGTGTCGTTGAGAACAGGCAGCCGATTAACAATGTCACAAACTATTAAATGTTACAAAAGATAAATTAAATATCGTGCTAGGCTACTCCATACTATGTCAACTGGAATAAATTATATCTCAAGTTGGGTTTAATCGACGACGACAACAACAAGTGGTTGATAAAAAAGGGCCCAAGGATAACTAAGGACATTATGGTTAGTTACCATAGAAACCGTCCATAAAATCAAGACGATTGTTGCTTAGAAGGAAATACAATCAAGTTCAAACTAGTGCAAATAAAAATTAATCTTGGATAGACATAAATCAAATTAGATCAATCACTTTTAATTCATTGCAATCCTATTAACAAGACAATAGCAGAGAAATTGATTAACATGAAAAAGGAGTAAATTGTTTCATCATGAATAACGCACTGGTATTTACAGATATACAAATAAAGGGTCATCCCCAGAGAAGCATGGCAATTGATAGTAAAATAAGATTTTTCGTATTCATTGCTTTCATTTAATAAAGATTATTCGTTATGAATAGAGAATAAGCAAGGAATTACCTAAATGCAGCAATTGTCAACAATTTCTCTACATTGACTAGACATTACAGAATGATTAATTATCAGTGACCATATCATCGAGTCAAATGTTGAAATATTCCTTTTGATGGAATAAATGCAAGAAAATAATGTATAATCCTATTGGTACATAACTGTTCATGAGCTCGTACGTACTTGATGTATCTACATTATTCTAATAGCCAGACTAAATCGTCACATAAAATATATTGAATTTATCAATGAATAATAAAGCAGACGATAGTATGGAACTAGTGTTCATGTTTCAACGGTGTTAATCCCTTTCATTCTAGCCTCTTAACGTTCAATATTAATATAGTAAATTCCAAATTATGCTAAAGGATTTATGCTGAATCTTTGCTCAAGGAATAGATCAAATTTGTCGATGAACATAAAGTAGTAGATAAAACGTGTATACCTTTACTTTTTTGAATGATATTGCATCTTCTTTGCATTATCAGATCAACTCTCTCTTCGGTTAACATCTAATATTAAACCAGCGAATTCGAACTGCAGAACTATAATGCTAACGTGTGGATATCTATTAACATTTCGAGTCATCAAGCTTCATTATAATTAATTATTGTAGTATTGTAGGTCAATTCATCTAGTAATGTATTATACATATGCATTTTATTCCATTTTTATTTATTTGTATTTTTGCTATCTCTGAAATTTCTGCCGGATGTTACCGGTATGTACTACTATTCAGTACCGGTACACCTGTAATTGCTTTCATTCATACGATGAAAATTAACAAATTGATAAACATCGGGAAGTATAGATGAAGAGTAGCAATTAACTTAAATAACTGTCATCAGTTTCCTTAATTCGTTGAATAATTACATTCATATGTAAGAATGAAATGTTTTAATCTGTGGTTAAACTGAAAAGCATGTTAGCGTTATCAATTTACTAACGAATTAATTAACTATAGACGGAAGTTAAAATATTTCAATAATTTATGCTACAATTTCATTTGATTACACGGTGATCTATGACTATCAAAACAGATTACTTTACAAGTCTGCTTAGTCGTCAAGTACAGTTACATGCATTTTACGCTTTTATTAATATTAATTAGCGATAATTCCTAATAAATAGTAATGTAACTCGCATTATATATCACCTTGCTTATAGTTATTGCACAAATCTCTATGTCTTTCACGTTATCTTACATTTGTTTGCTGTGAATATAATCGAATAATATTCATCATAGTAGCTTAAACTTTGGCAATGTTTTAAACTGATCTTTTAGGAATACAGTATCATTTGAAACTTAGCGCATAGCACGCTATATTGACTAGCTATTTAATATCTGCCGTAACATAAGATGTTCAATACGCTAACTTTGTTACAATTTAGAGCTCATCTAAGGAAATTATTTTCTACAATATCATAATTTTACGCTTTTTATCAATTAAAAGCAAAGTAACGACAATCAATACCAACATACGCGTATAATCGTAAATTCTTAGAACTGAGATAGAAAAGTTGAGGTAAATGCAAATATTAACTCAATCTAAGGTCAATTAATTCATAGCTATCATACCTAGATCGTTTATCTTTCTAAGTGAAGAATTTATTTATTCATAAGGTACAATTAGTGAGTATCACTTCTATATGGCTATATTTAGACTAACAGCCAAATTACCAATCATTGATACAGTCACAAAGAAATGACTTTTTAGATATTAGTAAACAGGATTAAAATGACAATCTATTTAAATTGAGATCGACGGATAGAAGTTAATTATGAATTAAATTGAAGTTGTTTCGACATAAATAATAATAGTAATAACGGTCATAATAGTACAGTGAAAGAAAATCCACTCAACAAGGTAAATAATTGTAAGAGATATAAATTAAATATATAAATACCCTAATAAACAACAAGGATCGATTTTTAGAACTAATACCAGAAAAGAAAGAAGTAGTAGGGTAGTGCTCGCATCTAAGTTATAAATGATAACCAAACTATGTTAAATAGATATTAACATAGTAGCTTTAATTATTATATCGATGCCATTTGAGCCTTAGCATATTAATATGGTTAATCCAAAATATTAGTCAATTAACTGATGCCAGTCAACGGCAAAAATTAACACTAAGTTCGCGTTACCAGCCGATTTCATGAGCAAATAAGAATATTTTAAATAATACACGGAACAATTATTACGTAGTGCAATCTTTAATAATCACTTCATCTTCCAAATAATTGAATATTTAGAATTTATCAATTTTGATTAAAACTCTGGATTCGGCAGAGAATATATAAGGTCTGTAGAATTGGTTCCAATCAAATAAAAGGAACTCTGATCGCGATCGATATCACATTCACGAGATATTTACGTTACCAATAATTAATTAATCTATTACTCCATAATTAAGCAATATATACGATAAACAAAATATATATATTCGGTATATTTTTAGTTAATAGCCAGTATTTAGAGAACAGCTATTAAAGTTAATTACGGGAAATAATAATCAATCAGTTCCAGAAATAAAAAACGTTGATTGGCGATAAAAACTCGTATACGGTGTACCGAATGTTACTATACTGCCAACAAGAAAATTTGCAGCCAAACTAAATGCCACAGCAACTTGATTTAGACTTTTCTTCAGATGGCAGTAAAATATTACTTTGAGATCGATTAATTGTCGGGTTATTATCACCATGAATTCTTTTCAGTTCGAAAGCCATTTTATAAAATGCATCTTCCACATTGCAGTCCGTCTTAGCTGAAGTTTCAATTACATCAAAAATGTTATGATGTGCTGCAAATGCTCTAACATCACTCAGTTCAACAGACCGTAAATCGTCTAAGTCAGTTTTAGTTCCTTCATTCCAAACAAGAAAATTAAGAAAGGATTATAAGAAATTTATTCGAAGAATGGTACTATGTCTTATCAATATCAGTAACTATAGAATACTCTTTCAAGCTATCTAATGCATTATGATTATTATATGTCACAAATTAGAAAAGCACATAAATACATGAAATCTAATTGTGTATGAATATTACGCATAAATTGAAAGGTTTTAATATGTTATCATAGCAAGTGAACTGGGCGATTATCTCATGAAGTATTCACTCCAATGAAGTTGATTATTTTAATTTTTAAGTTGCAATAACTAGCATTAAATGATCTTCTATTTGTATTAGGAATTTTCTGTTTTTATATCTATAAAATTTATATTATACAATGTAGAGAAAGAGGATAAACTTTGTCGGCTGACTTGAGGAGAAAGTGAGTTTTTAAAAGGTACTATGTTGTAGCGACTATATTGTAAAAGTATTCAACTTTACGACAGCTGTTCTAAGCGTACAGTTGATATCCATGTATATATATGTATACCGTACGCGTATACTGTATAATAAAGGAAGTAATTACCATAGAGATATATCAATAAGCTACTATGCAGCTTTAAATTGCATAAATATATTGAGATTGCACTACTACGTCTCAGATATCGTATATTACTATCCATAACAGATGGCATATTTACATATAATATTAATTGTATAATTGAAATATTACGAATTACCCTCTGTAAGATGTTTGACTTACCTACTAATAACAAGACTACATTTTTACCGGCATATTTTTTAATATCTTCTAGCCATAAGGGCACATTCAAAAAAGATTCTTTACGTGTAATGTCGAAGGCGATTATTATTCCATTGGCACTTCTAAAGTAACTTTGTGTTATAGTACGGAATCTTTCTTGGCCAGCTGTATCCCAAATTTGTAACTATTGGATCAATAAAAGTACAATTATAATTATTATACATAAATAAATATGCAAAAGTCTGTACGTTAGATCTAATTTACTATCATCATAGCCACTGTCCATAAGGAATTCGACTGCAATGGGTAAATATTAACTATTTTTAGCATGTCAATCATTTCGACTCTTACGTAATCAAATTTTAAACTCATCAACTATACAATACACTGCCAATTTTTTCATCAAAAACCTAAACATTCTATTCTCTTTATTATGCTTTGTCTTGTATTTTGGTGGAGCAGCTATTAACGCCTACAACAAGTGCATTTTTTACGTGCTTCCAGTGTTGAAATTTTTAATATTTTTTAGTATTTGGTGTCAAGAAAAGTTTCTCAGGCGTTAGTAATTAACATATTTTAATAGAGCAAAAACTTGATTATATTAAATTTTGCCATTACTTTCGTAATTGAAACTTTAGAAACTGATTAACGAAAAGTAAAAGAGAAGCTCTTATGGATATATACGCATACATGAATAATAAATTAGCTTCAGTGAGGATGTGATACTAGATCTTCAGAAATCTCTAGCCATATTAACTTTTTTTAATATTTTCTGACTAGTTTAACTAAAATCATGACTGAGGAGGCGCAACGAGAAGAATGAGAAATACGGCTATAGTAACTTAAAAAAAGTATCATTTTTAATAAAAGGTTAACTAGTCTGTTCATTACATAGCATGGTCGATTGTAGGTAGTCATCGACAAAAACTGTATTTTACGTTTGCAAATACAATTAATTTTATTGTATTCACTCGAATTTAAAAATTTATAGGATTGCCAAATGTGAAGCACGTACGTAATTTTGTAGCGATATAAATTCGATCCTACTTTAAAAGTGTGCGTAAAACTATTATGGACGAATACTATCCTAATGAAAAGCTTTAATAAAACGCTATATTTCATCTTCTGAAGATTTTAAGTAAAATTAAATGTCCAATTATAATTATGACTGATGCTTTACTAATACAGTAGTGATTGAGTAATGCTATGATATGCTCGTAGAGAGAAAATTCATTTATGTAAAAAAACTACCTTAGAAAACTGCCCAATTACTAAAAGTAAACGAATAATGAAAATAGAATATAGCAGATTGCAATACATCACAATCCTTGCGATTTAGTCAATATCATATCATGAGATATTTATAGCAGCGCACATATAAGTAACGTTGTGGAAATATGCAGTGCAAAATTGGATTTCTCAACTGCAAAAAGTTCGCGATATTGCAATCTTCTTGCTTCTGTAATTTGTTATAAACATATATAACAATATAGATAATCAGTAATAGCACAGGAAATAGGCATAGGATGCACTAGCAAATAGAGGTTTCTAAAGATGATAATTTAATTACTAAGGATTCGATACTGTATCTTTTCAATACAAAAATATTCTTTAATTATTGTGTGGTGAGTTAGTATCATCCCATCTTAATCTATGACTAGCCAGATATACTCGAATGGAGGTATTAAGAAAGATACGGTAACCTTCGTTTCAATACTTTGTAATATTCCGTGCCAGTATGCTGTTACAGTACAGAGGGAAGATGTACAGTATAATTAATAAAATATAAATGAATAAATACGTACTAATTATAAAAATGCCTGTGACAGCGTATTGTAAATAAGCTTGGTAGTTATTAACGTAATACCAATTAATCTAATCCAGTCAAGATTTAATATGACGATGATTGCAGGTTATAATAACAAAGCTGCGATTACGTTTAGATTGCATAACGGGATCTATTAGGTCTATATGATAAATTATAGAAACCATTCCGGAAGAATCAACTCTGTGACTCTTTTAGGTGGGTTGCTAATATTCTTATTTACAGATAGTATCGTAAATGATTTAAATAGATCAATCAGCAAGATTACTAATCATGAAATACTACATAAATTATAAATCTTGTAATACTATAATTTGTAACGAATTTATGGTTCATATCTGAATCAACGTTGACATCAAATATAGACGTGCTCGTGATGTTTCATTGATTAATCAGCAGAACAATAAATCGATTGGTCTACAGTATGTAGTCGCACTAAAATATACACTATACGCATTTAACGCATAAACAATATTAATTAATGGTATTACTTTCTTATAGACGTTTACAAAAAATAGGAGACGTAGATGTGCGCGTACTTCAACACTAAAAAGATTGCTTTAACTATAGTTATGCAGCAGATAAAATAGAAAAATTCCAAGATTGATTTTGTCTAACTCTACAAAGTTTGATTACAGTATGTAACGATGTATAGTCACTTTATGAAAAATAAGATACTTGTATGTATCAATGCGTGAGATCACAATTCGATACCTTGTACGATAGCTTTCGGATAATATAGTATAGTATAGCTTTTATGGTGTGTACTAATGTTTAATTGATCACAGATTGATTTGATGGGTCATACTCACTATAGATACTACTATATACAATAAAGGCTGTATACAGTATTTGTACTGATGTAAAATTCAGCAGCTGTCCAGATATGTAACAAAGTGATATTTCCATTCATAAAAGACTAGTTCTATTTTTAAATTATAATATAAGCAAATACAGTTAAAGTATTATTTCACCCAACGAATATACCTAAGCACAGTAGAATAGAATGATGAAGGTTACATTGAGATGTACATGGAGTTCTAAATCAATAAACTTGTAAATTTAAAGGCAACAGTCTATGAAATTTCATGGTACTCCCATATGTTTCAAACCGCGCGGTATTCTAATAGAAGGAAAGTACTACCGTAAATACGGCTATAACTAAGCTTTCAGGAGCTTACATGTAAATCATTGAGGTTATTCATGCTATGACTAGCACACTGTTATTAGTCTATATTACAGCATTCCATAAATCGAAAGTAAGTTCCAACTTCAAACATAAATCAAATAAAACTTTCATAAGCTGCAACGAATCATCTTGGAATAACTTCTTACTGTCATAATAGTTGTTAATCTAAAATTAGCCAATCGTTGGGATTGACGAAACGACAAAAGAATCTCTAAAATTCAGTACAGCTTCGATATTATTACTACCCGCAAAGAATATAAGAGTTATCTCGAGCAATGAAGGTGTTATCGAAATCACATGTAGAAGCAAATGTCATCAGATCTAATCGTCCGTATCAGAAATTCATGAACTATTTGATGAACACCTATGATAATTACATATGCTGAATATTAATATAATATTAAAGGAAAAGACCGATTACTTGATTTTCAGGGAAATATCTTGACGAATGAAATACTCCTTTTGATTAAGATAAGTTAAACTGTTATCATAATAAAGTGTACAAAATAATTCATAATCCTCGGCTAACTTTATTAATTAATCATTGCTTCCCTTATAGTAAGTAATTGCGTGAAAGGACCGAGTATACTTCTCCTTGAACAATTTAAATAAATAATACTGGCTATGAAAGTAGTGGATACGTCTTTATATGCCATGTTCTAGGTAGATAACTACAATCAATAAAAATTCGAGTATAGTCAAGTCACTACTAGAGAAGAATGTCAACATTTACGAGTCATTTAATATCGGGATTGCTTCACGATGTTCAACTACCACCATTATTTAATGTATTGGTTTAATAAACGGTCTATGAACACTCAATTTAATTCCTATATCGCCTGATTAAATCTTCACAGGACCATTTGTCTAAGATGAAAAGCTGAGTATCAATAAGTTATTGTTCCCATTGCATAAGCTGCAATCTGTGTCCATTCAGTTTAAGAAATGATACACATGCAAATAATGTAAAAGATACATCATGATTTGCAAAAAGAAGGTAAATACTGTACTCCTTAGTTAGGCTATCTTCCATTTTACCCAGTGATAATGACATAGCGATTGAATAAATTAGAAGTTATTAAGAGGCTCAACATGAAAGCAGGTTGATGAGTGATAAAGAATAGGGAAAGTAGCTGTCCAGTAGGTAGTTATTTTTCAAAACTAAATAGTGATATAATGCGGAATATTATGTCGAATTGAGTAGTTCTGGCGTCACTCCAAATGGAAGTGCAAAGAAAAGGAATAATCATCATGTCACCATGCAAGAAAATAATATAGCAAGTGCTTTAACACTGTAGTTTTCAGTATCATCAAATTACATGAAATATTCACTGATAAATAAATTAAATTACCGTACAGTATGAAAAGAAAATGGTAGTCATCATGTACTGTATTGGTGATCAAATTATTCAGGGTTTACTTTATTAGAAAGTAGATTATAACATGAGACTGTCAATTACCTTAATCTTCTTACCACCGGAATGGATTGTCTTAAAGAAAAAATCAACACCAACTGTACTGGAATATTTTTCATTGTAGGCGTTACTCTTAAAGCGATGCAGCAAAGCCGTTTTACCAACACCAGCATCACCAACAATCATGACTTTTAGTAGCATATCATAATCTTCGCCTAAATCATCGATTAATCCAGAATTGCCTTCCTTGATCATGTTTCCTGCAGTACCATTCATTTCAATCAATGTATTTTGTACCTATTAGTGCAAGGAAATGACTATTTCAGTTTCTTGTCAATGAAGAATATCGAAGAATGAGTGCGATAAGGAAGAAACAATCTTAACATCATCTTTTAGTTTTCAATACGTCCTCATTCAAGCGAAACAAGGGAGTTGTTGTATGCAATTTCACTTACTTGATAGGCTTTCGTTTGAATTTCTTGGCTAGAATAATGGAAAGCAAATTCTCGTTTCTACTTCTTTGCTTTCCAAAGACGAAAGGATTAATGATACCTAGCAAGAATCCTTCTGAGTATTTTCAATCTTCTCCACTCTCGCTCTTGTATCCAAATCAATTTAAGCTACGGGTACAAAATTTGCACGCACGGTTGCAATCCCAAATATAAGCTTAACGGTATCTGACAATCTCTAGCAGGGTATTGAAAAAGAGATTTTCAATCAGTAAACATTTCTTTATTAGGCTTTGCCGTCGTCGAAACTCAGACCAAATGAACAACTAGCTATCCTGTATAATTTTTTTTCTCTCCCTCTCTCTGCATTTTTTTCTTTAGGGAGGAAACCCCACGACTGCTTGAATAAACACAATGCTTTACAAAATCAACTGTAAGCAAAGGCAGGACCAAAAAAAGAATCACATTTCAGACAAAATTGAAGGCTTTAAATAAATTCACTGACTGCCATGTCGAAATCAAAGCAGTATTCTATCCAGTTTAAGTTAAGTTCAGTGTAGCAAAGAAGTCGCCATTTTTTTCGCCCTTCTCCTTGACTGCAAGAGGTCGATGTTACAACTGCTGGCGTGACATCAACGAGATGACGTACAGTGCACGTTCAGCATTCAGGTGTCGATGAAGCGCAACTGTACGGTCATCATCCAGGTGTCAATGAAGCGCATTTCCATTTTCAAAGATGAGAGAGCGAGAGAGAAAAAAAAAAAATGAAACTAGTTACCTTTGTCATAAAATGGTCGGAAAATGTTGTGTCCGGTATGGATTCCTGTTCAGAGTTGGACTATTGAATAGATTGGTAGTATATTTAATATAGAGAATATTGCCACAGCTGTGGTAAAATAGAAATTAATGATACAAAAACATGAAAATCACTGTTACTCTTTGACAATGATGTTTCTATACTGAAATTATCAATCAAAGACTTGTCAGACAATCTCTTCTTGCTTACGTTGCTAATACACTCGATGACTCTAGTCTAATGCATATAGATCGTTGCGACGTATGCAACGCTACCGATCATTTATATCCCCAAAATACTAATTTACTGCCTTTGCCAGTCCCCCCAATGACAGAGCAAGTTGCAACAGTATACAGTATATAACCGGCAAGTCCATTTCCACACAGCGAGACAGTCTCTACTAGACTATACAATGCAAGCAAACTCAAGCGTGTATTCTATGCATCCTATTGAAAGGTGCAAAAGATCCTTTTTGCACTTTAATGTTATTCACTGAATTCACTCATTCATTAAATAAATTAAATTAACTTGAACAGTTGACATTAGCAAGCTCCAAGGCTTAGTGCTGTTTACTCTACTGTATGCTTACAGTAGACATCGGTTTGCGCTGTACAGTGTACAGTACGGTCCACTGGACAGTGCACTGTACACTGTACAGCTCATGCAGTACAGGACAGTATTGTTCCGTACTCTACAGTATATCCCTTTTTAGTCAGCTACTGCGTCAGCACTACACCTGTTTTAATTTAGTCAACCGTGCTTCAGTACCAACTATCAAGTGACAGGCAGTAAATTAGGCTAAATACTGTACAAGTAGTGGTCAAACACTGTGCAATATCAATTTTGTCGACGGGCATTTTTAGGCCAAATCAACTCCATTTGGAAGGATGTAGAGTTGGATTTGAGGTACTTTAATGTAGTCGAAAATTTGATGAAAATGCACGTCAAACAATGAAGGATTCTCTATGTCAATTTTTCAATGCTAATGAAGTACGATTTGACTGCAAATGAAAATTTCGAAAGTAAAACGTTGACGTCAATATAGGAATTGGATCCCCCAAAAACAATAGCGTCCAACGGAAATAGTTCATCGGTTGAATTTAGAGCTGGCTGTTACTTGTGCACGAAAATTGTAACAGTTAAATGACCCACTCAGTAACCTATTAAATATCCCCATGTATCATATAAACAGGATAATAAAGCTCACAAATTTGGCAGTACCATCTATAGATATTAAATATGATGAGCTATATTTTCAGGTTTTTAATAGCTTTTACATCAGGATTCGGATCTTTAATTTTTGTTGTTGCGCTTTCGCTGACCGCTACCTTACAGTATTGTACCGTAGTGGGAAACGTTCATTGACTACGATCCCTGACAGTACGCAAAGTATTGTATACTGTAATATCATGGGTAAAGATAGATCTTCATGGTCTTATGGCAGTAAAGGTACATGAAATTTTAAAAGCCAAAGTATGGGCCATACTATTTTCGCTATGCCTGGTTAGGGCCAGTTTATGTGCTTTAGGATATAAATAGATAGATCAACATGAATATAGACGACTCCTCTAATATGCATGCATAAAATACCGAATCCACTCTACCTTACACTACTGTATTAGACAGATTAGTACAGTAAACTACTGCCTGTATTGAATTCACGATCCCTTGAGAGCTCAGTTGATTGGCGTGATGCCACAGCAGGTAGAAGTCATTTCACTTTTCTTGCATAAATGACGAGTAATAAAAGGAAATTCACTATACAGCGATCAATACGCTAATGATCGGCATAGTAAACTACTGTCTAGATTGGATTTACGATCTTGAGAGCTCAATTTATCCTTGTATGATATCAAGTAGAAATAATTTCTCTTTTCTTTTTACGCAGGACTTCGGTACTTGTGTGAGATCAACACAGTAAACTACTGCCTGTATTGCATTTAAGATCTTGAGAGCTCAGTTGATTGCTGTGATGATAGCGAGTAGAAGTAATTTCAAAATTTTTTCATGAATGACGACTAGAAGAAATTTAATACATAGTATTGCATGGAATGTCGCAAAACTGATAATCTGGAAGATTATTCAACACACAACAACCGCTTAACTTATACATACAATGCATTTCGATGTAGTCAAACCTCATACTGTAGGAAGCAGGTAGTTAGCAAGTTACCAATCAGCACTTTTCTCGTTTATGGCATATCAAGTATGTAATATGGAGAGAATCAACCAGAAAAAAGTATATACAGTAGTTATCACTGAATTATGATACTAATATGTACTCACTAACACGAATCTCTCAGGTAATTGTAACCCAAAGTTACAATTACTTAAAGCCAAATTATCCAAATTTATACCAAAATTACTGACTCTACTAAATTTTTAGACATTTTAAGTACAACTCAATGCATAAACGTGTAAAAAAAAGCTGTAAACATTTACGTGAAGATATGATTTTTAGTTGTGCATGGTGAAGATCACTCATTTATTCACACTATATGTATACATAATTATCACAACACTTTAAGAATATCATTTACAGTAAAAGCAGAACTACTTAGTAGCCCTGGTAAAAAGCTGCCAAAAAAATAATTTTAGAATGAAATGTTTTCGGGGAATCTAAAAAGTTAAATCAGATGCACTAATTTCGACATTCTAAAAGGGGCTAATCATCACAATTTAGCGTTATAAGTAGATGCTAACTGCTTTATATCTTTCATGGTGACCTTTGCAGTAGAGATTTCTTCCACGGATTGTTGAATTTGCTTGAAGAGGTCAGCTACGACTACAATATTTGTAAGGTCAAATATAAGTGCAATATAGTCAATCACACATAAAGTTATTGCCAAAAACGCTAAAGATTTTGCATGTAACCGATACGTACTTTTCTTCTCATCCCCCGATAAAAAGAGTAGCACTATACTGAATCGTTTAACTTTCGATAGTGATAAGAGTTCCTCAATGACGGATCGATTATTGCTGCATTAATTGATCGTAAAAAGTCACACGTAGTTGAACTTATCATTAATCTTAGAAATTGAAAATAGCCCATACTTGTACAGAAATCACAACGACTACATATATGATCGCAACGAATGATGATAATACTTACGGTAAGTAGTAATTTAAGAATACGTTCATCATCTTTATGAATTTTTCCGAATCAAGAGATTCTTGAAATAGTCTAGGGTATAACTTTGGTTCGATAACCTTCAAAATATGAGACACCAGTTTAGGAATTACTTTATCGATTGCACTGCACGCATAAAGCTACAGTAACAAGTAATTTAACATCTTAGTCACGCCTTGGATAGCGTGATTATTTTCCTACTTGCAAGTATTCATATAGTAGCTGCGAACTGTGGCAAATTTCTTTCCAATCTGATTCAAATTGGATAGACGAAGTTGGTACCTTAAAAGTCTTAGTCCGTAATGGTACCACTGGAACCTTACTAACAATTTTTCAAATCTTAGGCTACCTTGCAGCTAGAACTTATAAGGAAAAATCAAGCTTTTATTAACAAAAATCAACCTGATTATTTCAGTTATCGATTCTGATTCTTTGGCTATCTTATTTTCATGATCATTATTGGACTGTATCGACTTTCCGACAGTATCTTGATTTTCTTGTGGCTGATCCACGACAATTTCCTCATCACTTCCAATCTCTTCAATCGGTATCCGCCGGAGTGGCTCCTAAATAATATACCTCGAATCTTAAAACTATACTCAATCTAGTGCCGGTAAAGTAGAATCCTAAAAAAGGTTAACTGAAGACTTGCTACGACTACTACAGTAACAGTTTTCTTTGCAAATAACGAATAAAAGCCTGCAAATAAAACTGTAACTTACTTCCTTTTTTATTTTGGCTGTTTTCTGCTTCTGAATTTCATTATTCGATTTTCCATCACTCTTTACATTTAACTAAATAAGAAAAGATATTACGATAAGCATATTCGTATTAAGTACTGATGTAATATAATATATCAATCATTAATTAACACTCATTAAGCTCATGCAGCATTGATCTAATATTAGGCAGGCAAATGCCTTTCCACTTACTACCTTTGATTTTATTTTTTGCAATTCGTTTACAGCTAGTTTGTTTCCAGGTTCTATTTTCAAAACCTCCTTAAAATCTGCAAACAGATGATCGAATACATATATAATGTTGTCACAATCGGCACAATTCATAGAATACAAATTTAAGCTATATTAGTCTTTAATAAAAGATTGCACTAGAAATTGCAATGCAATATCATATTATTTCAGCATATGTCAAGTAGTTAGTTTTCTTACCATCCATTGCATCATTTAAGCGTTGCAGTGACATCCTAGCAGTACCTCTACGACTATACGCTTTCGTATAAGATTTATCAATAACTATAGAAGAGGTGCAATCTTTTTCAGCTTCAGAATATCTTATGCAAATAAATTAAAAAATTGAAATTGTCAAAATATAATCAATGCGCCAATAGCAGAAAGAACTCTAATAACCTCTGATAATTCAGAATTACGCACAATATAAGAATAATTGGTATAATAGTATATAGTATATTCCACACTCGTGTTTTATAATAGTGTAATAACCGTAAGTTATGCGTTCAAAGTGATCGGACGTCTGAATAGAATTTAACTTTTGATATATTATCCTGATAGTATCACACATACGCACACCTGTATATCTCCGACATAAAAACATACATATTGAATTGCATTATTTAACAAACCTTTTCAATTTCAGCAATGCCATTGCTCTATTTGCGTATAGTATTGCATTATTGGGATCAGCCTGTATTCCAAGTGTGTAGCACTTGGTGGCTTCCTCATATTTACCAATCTTAAATAATTCATTACCCTATTGCAAATTTGCAAAGAAAATACAAATCTGTAGTAATACATTATTACTTAATGATGTTAGGATAGTATTAAAATGAATGAGCAAGGAATTAATCGTGACTATACTGTACTTTATTTTTTTGATATTGAGCTTTTTGCAGCAGTATTTCCTCATTTTCTTCTTCAGATTCCTCGGTATAGGCAGTATCGGCCGTATTGGTTTCATCGCGGGTACTTTCTTTTTCTTCATCGCTTACGTGAGCTAAAGCTTCATCCTATAGATGAGTATGAGATGGAGTTTAGTTGATCATGTAAATAGCTACATCAACTACCGTGGTAACTACATGTGAAATTATTAGAATAATCAAAATTTGAACCGTATTGCACTAATAATTTATAATTTGTGTTCTTGAGTTCTATATTGATTGCATCCATTTATGATTCGTTCAGACTACATCCTATACGTACAAACAACTGATCACTAACAGATATTTATGCCATGCCTACCACATTAAATTTATCCCAACTTCTGTAATCATAGGATGATATTCTCGATGATTCAGTTCGCTTGTCTGATTGCTTATTTGTCGGTTTCTTTATTTCTTCTTTTGTTTGTTTGATAGGCCGATTTCGAACTGGTGGCAAATTCTAATAAAATAAAATTGTGAAATTATGAATTCCTTTAGAACATTGTCATCATGACATGCTAAGTCCTATATATATGCTTATATGGGATGTTAGCTAGTTTATACTATGCAGTAACATTACAAAGTAGTTACATATGCTATATGTATGTAGCTGTAAAATTCTGTAAATGATAGACGTTATTGCTAGTCATAATAACGATATCGAAGACATGCACAATTTCATATGCTGATAGCAGCACTTTATAAATGTAACATGCAATCTAAAATGAATGAGACTAAAGATAGATGGTGTGCAAGACGTATAGTAAAATGAAAATATTTTATCAATTTGTTTCGCAGTGTATATTGATTGCATCATATCTATGTATGTCAATACTAGGATACATTAGATCATTTTTATGTAATCCATGGATGCTGTACTCAATGTTGCGCCTAAATTATCGATACTCAAGACAATGCTGAATGATATAGTGTCATGCAGACTTGAAGCCCATTCTAGAGTACAAGCGTCAACATATAAAGTACTGAAGTACAAAGCTAGTGCTCGTACTTTCTTATCCGATGAGCCTTCCTTATTTACAGATAATTCCTGATCTTTCTTTTTAATTTTATCTTCCCAACTATTTAAATCGCGTAAAAAATCTTGCAGCTCCTCCTGATTTTGTCGGACTTGTTGCTGAAGTGAAAACATACTGCCAGGATCCGCCATGATGACCAACAATGCTCGTCAAAGAAGACCTTTCCTGGTAAGATGAATCACCGGTAGAATCCTTATACTGTCTCGTACAGTAACGTCTTATTCAATCTTGAAACCGAAATAGCTTGAATGTAATTTCTAAACGTTGCCAAGATTTGAGCGGTTGGAATCCATGCCAGCAGGAACAAACCAAAACTGACCAAGGTTGGAAACTTAGCAACGCTATTACTATCGTCGTATTTAGCAGCCCATAGTTCTGTAGCTCTAGTCATGTCAGTACATCCGTCCTTGCCATAGTCCGAAAGACATATTTGGCTACATACTGTTTGAAACAGAAGCTACTACATTATGCTGTAGTAAGACGCAGCCGGACTTGCCAGGAAATCATATAGGATCTCTTGACTATCTACTGTTTAAAACAACAGTTGATAATGCTATACGATACACTACTACAGTACATGTCTGTACCTAAAATGATGTCACTCTCTTACAGTGTCTAGTATCCACTTCTTCTTCTTTGTACTGTAGTCAAGACAGGCTTTGCACTGTACTTCTGTCTATAGTAAGAGCTATCCGCTACGCTCGTACAGTATGCAGCTTGTACTACAGTACAAACCTGGCTAAGGGGTGACATCGTTTGAGGTACAGCAAGAAATAGTGCATCTTGCCCGTTCTGCAATCATGGACTGTGAGCAGAGCTAGCTGGAACGGGGGGGAATTGCTTCGATTAATTAAACGATGCTTTAGACCTGAGATGATCAGAAGGGAGAAAAAGCCACAGGTGATCGCTAAGGTATCCCTGCATAGAAGAATTCTACGACAATCTCAATTTGAAGCTCTTCCATGTACTCACCGCAGTGAAGACTTTCCAGTGATTAGGATGACCAAATTTGATAGATATATACTGTACAGCATCTATAATCCATCATTCTAATAGAGAAATGATGGAGAAAAGTTTGCATTGATTTTTCCATGCTAAAGGAGGAAATCAACTGATGCATTCATTATCTTAGCGTTGATAGTAACTCGGTTGGGAGTGGACAATGTAGGATTTAGACCACATTGATATTAGCGTATGAAAAGCTTACATGGATTTTTTTGCCATGCTCATTGCTCAATAAGGAAATCAACTGATGTACTATCTTAGCCTTTAGAGTAGCTCTGTTGGCAGTGAACAATATAGGATTTTGACCAGTTTGATATTAGCATTTGAAGGAGAAACGCCCATGGGTAATTGCTAGGCTAGCATTCTGAGCTGTACACTGTATCAAGTGTACGGTATAGTGTACTGGGATAGGTACGAGGCAGTCTAGTCAGTAGAATACTAGAGCACCGCATACCTCAAGTAAAAGCATACTGTACAAGGCAATTCTTCCAATTCCTTTTCGACTCCATCATCTCAGCATTTGCTTATAATATTCATCTACTGGTACATCAAATACACCATGTCCCATCAATCAGGAATAATCGGTAATTATGGATAAGGATGTAAAGGTTAACAACGTTCATAATGTTTGCAGTCACTCCTTCCATATCATTTTACTGTGTAAACCGTTGCATCAACTGCCTACGTTATCGTAGTCTTGAGCCAGATACGATGTTTGTCGATAGAAAATGGCCTAGCTCGGCTAAAAAATGAAGCTATAAACTGTATTGATGTTGGAATTGATTTACTAGGATCAGTGTAACCAACTAATTAATAATGGAGTGCTAACTGTAATAGAATATCATAAGATAGCCGTTTCTATACATTTGAATCATTAAACTTAGACAAGGACGCGTATTCCGTTTTTAATCTCATGATCAGTATTAATGATACACCGCTTAAACTCTAAACATTTGAATCATTAAACTTAGACAAGGACGCGTATTCCGTTTTAATCTCATGATCAGTATTAATGATACACCGCTTAAACTTGATTTAGCAACCGAAGAACTAGCTTCGTTCTTAGCCGATTCCAAGGATGGCAATATACGATTTATTAAAGTTTCTATCAGAGAAGGTAAGTAATACAAGTTACGCTCAAAGAATTAATTAATAAGTCTCCAGGTGCTACACTACTTGAATAACCATGACAAACTTGCAAATTGTTTACAGTCTATCATGACTGTGAAAAAAATTACATTTATAAACTACTGTACTACGTGCTCTTTGCTTGCGTAGAGTAGTCCCTTATAATTATTGAGCAACGAGTCCAAAAGACCTCGTATTACACAGTGCTACTGCGTATATCATTAATATGGTACTAATTTTATAATCTGTTGGTAATATGTTCACAGAACGTCTGGTACTTTCGACTTCCGGCGAATGTGTTGGCACTTGGGAAGATGATATCCTTTGATACCTTTGATAGCATGATTAAGATCATGTATAATCAATTTATCCCTATGCTGAATTTATGATATCAAATCATGAGTAATCTCCGCATACATTACTCAGAATGTATTCCTGCAGTTTATTCTTCTTCATTAGACCTCGAGCAAAATGAATACTTCACTCTTATTGAATATCAACCATTCTATTAGTAGTGATCTAAAAAATCGTGATTGCGAATTGTAACCATTAGAATGATGTAGTGCTGTATGGCGCTATAAGATTAATGAATAATTAATAGTGCATAGGGAATACGTCATTGTTAGCTGATACTTGAGATTCTCCTTGATAATCTCTTTCGGATTTATAGTACACTACAAGCAGATTAACATGTTTATATTCGAACTAGGTTATACTAATTTCCTAAATGACATTTCTTCATCAATGCTACTACGAATTGGATGTCTTCTTGAACGATGGTTTATTAATAGTAGAAAGACAAATGATAGAATCGAAAAATTGAATATTCATTGCACTGTGATTTACTTGATATACGTAACATAAAGGAATATTTTGCTGCAGCGTAACTTCTTCACAACAACTCTATTTACACATTCTTCGTCTACATACTTTGGTATTTCGCCTTGACCACTATTACATTATGACAATTGTGTATTGAATAACCTAGAAGAAAAGACTCCATGCTATATTTTTTATAGGCTTGACAGAAAGAGTAACATTGGATACGAATGGCTATTTATTAGCTATTCTCCTGATAACTCTCTTGTAAGTCACTACTTGTTGCACTAGTCCTATCATAATCTATTGTTGAATCTCGTACATACACCTTTTACAATGCTTTCTACTATTTATTTAACATATTAGGTCAGGCAAAAAATGTTGTATGCGTCTACTCGATATACAGTCAAAAGAATCTTTGGAGATAATCATATTAAACAAGAATTATTTGGCACAGTTCCGGTATGAGATCTTCAAGAATGCTTTGTTACACGTATAGGTTGATGATTACAGCTTAATTGATAATCCAAACGATATCTACTTTAAAGTTGGTTTGAAAGTTTAATTTAACTCTTACAGGAGGATGTGAGCTTAGCTGGATTTCATAAACATCTAGAATCCGCCAATGCCCCACCACCCCTGACAATGGCAGAGGTTGAAGCTCAGGAAATTAAGAAAAATGAGGTAATATGAACTGCAATAGACATTACAGAGCGTCAAAGAAGAATCTGTAAACCCTATGTATCAGCTAATTAATAAATTACTCAATTTATTTAAGTGAAGTTAAGAATAGCTCTCAACTTGTTGTTTATAGGTTGGAGTCGAAGTTGGCATTGACACAAAACAATCAAGCATGAAAAGCGTATTTTTTCCATTCAATCCTGATGCTATGGACAAGATACAGGAATTCAAAGATGGAAATATTAACTACTTGCATTTGGTAAGGCAATGTTATCAATTATCATAACTCGAAACAAATTTACAGCGAAACGATTGCTTTAGAATTTATAACGTACATTATATCCAGGGTGTTGACACTGGAAACGAAAAGATCACATTAGAGAATACTGACAATATCAGCATAGCACAGTTATCGAGTATGGTTCCAATTGCTCACGCCAGTTATCACCTCTTCAATTATAAGCACATCTACGAAGATAACGAAGTGGAATCAACAAGTATCGTTTAATAAATGTTACATTCGTCTAATCAATATGTAATCTGGATATAATAGTAACCGTAACTCTTTTTCAGTTTTTATCTATGCTGTACCTGTAAGCAAATCGTCAATCAAAGAGAAAATGTTATATTCTACATGTAAGACACCGGTTATTCAGACGATTGAAGAACAGTTTAAAATTTGCATTGCTCGTAAGGTATGATGAAACTAATCCTATCAATCTAGACAATGGATTAAGTTAATCTTATTGCTTACTATACACGTATTTGGTTGCATTCTAGCTCGAAACTGATGATGCTTCTGAACTAACTGAAGAGTATATTATGAGCGAAATCCATCCAGTCAAAGCTGAACAGAAAAAAACTTTTGCAAAACCACAGGGCCCGAATGCAAGACGAGGCCAAAGACGCATTACTAAGACTTAATTCGATATCAATATATATTAAAATATCCACATGGATAATCTACATTATATCAAATATTGTATGTTAGCAAGGTACTGATGGATCTTTAATAATAAATTACCTGTTTCTAGCTCAGTATTATAAAACGAACTTCAATATTCATTTGGTACGAAGCAACATAAAATCAACAACTATCAGAATAGACGATTGTCGCAATACTATAGGTATTATTAATTCTTATTTTAGAAAATTAAGATTGGATACAATCACATACCGATCTCTGTGTAGTGTTTACTAATATTTCATATCTTTTTGTTAACAAAACAATAAAACTTTTTGTAATCACTTTTCGGTTAGAGCTACTTCCAATTCTAATAGGAGTCGAACATTAATTTCATCTATATAAAACGTTCTCCAATGCTAAGACTTGACCGGTTATATTATACTCACATTATATACAGTACTGTAGTACGTCCGCCGTAAACTTACCCCTCACCAACACGACATACGCGTACACTATACACTGTGTATACTTAAGAAAATAAACAGCCGTGATGCAGCTCGCTTGGTTTACTTTTAAGACTGCAATCATTCAATGTCGAAATGCAATACTAGGATTCAATTTGCAAAGTAAATACTATCTGCTGGATTGAATTACGTTTTGCTATCGTTAAAAATTCTAAATCAACTAATCATACGCATCAAGTACTTTCTAAATACTGTATGAGTGTTTCTAGTATTGTAACAATGTTAAATTTCATCTTCTTGATCGAATAGTATATATTGTCATTTGAAGAGGTATAAGAAACTGTATGTTACCACTGAATGAAAAAACTAAAAGTTAACAAAAATAATGACTAATGTGATATGCGTCTGCGTAATTAACTTATATCATTGAATGTTGAAACGAGAATGGACAGAAGCAATATATTCAATTATTTTAATAGATCTTAATTACATAATTTATTAATTCGAATTTCAAATTTTATCAGCAAATTAAAAAATTGATCGGTATACGAGCATTAAAAGTTTTACAGAGTATATTTATATTGTACAAGATATTGCATGGCATTGATTAGCATGAATAAAAGTTTTACAGAGTATGGTTATTGATATTGACAATTTTAGCGAGTCTTTACTTTCATAATAATTATGATTGATCAGTCAGTCAACGAGGATAGTGGTTATTCTTGATAAAATATTACTCAGCCTCGCGCGTGTATCCTCTGATATCCTAAGTAGGATACTTATGAATTAACACGAGTATATGTTAATCTAGTTGCATGTATACTTCTGACATACTAAGAAGCAGCAGCAGCAAGCAAACATGCAAACTTGTATTTCTTATTTTGTAAATTGATATTAATCAATTGTGATTCTAACGGCTTATCAGCTATTTAACAATAATACAGAAATAATTCTATTTCATGACTATCTATTCTATGATGATAGTACATGCCCAGGCAGTTATTACTTTGCCAACATCTTGAAATATCATTAAATAATGACTAATAAAGTAATATATCGTCTCCAAATATACGAAGATTACAGCAACGATTAAATAAACAATATCGTGATACTGGCAATATTCGAGTACATATCACAAGCTCTTAGTCTTGATTTATTGAAAAAATCTACCCAAACAATGATGCGATTAGTGAATAAACCGAAGAGACAAAGCTGTTCAAGCTCTAACAAGATAAAAATTCATACTATAAATACACTAAATAACAGATTCGTTTAGAGAGATCTTACTGTAGATCATTCATATATTGCATACTTCACTCAATAGGTATATAAATAACTTAAGTCAGGAGATAGTTAGCCATGATGGCGATAAAGAAGTCGAAAGGACGATTAAATTATTTACGATAATATTATAATCACGACTTCAAGTGTATGCAAACAAAAATTTATCAATCAGTAACGCTGTTGCATAACATTTAATTAGTGCTGGTTCCAGGAACCGTGGTCAGTTCAATTGTAGTTGCATTCATTGTAGAATTCATTAATAAGATTGCAGTGCAGTTGTGACGCAATTCCCCTTCTGAAGGCTGATATAAAATGCCTAAAGGGATAAAGATTCTCGTAAGAATATTCACAAAGTCTCAACATCAACAACTGAAGTTCTTACCTGCCAAACAAGCAGTCATAAAGCAGGCGATGGTTGCCGAAATAAGGGCTCTAACCGCAATACGAGCAAGATCCCCACGTCTGTTGGGTGCCATGGGAGTTAAGCCTCCCAATAAGATTCCAATTGAGCCAATATTGGAAAATCCGCAACAGGCATAAGTAGCAATCACTTCCGATCGAAGCTACAGAATTTAGCATAAGTAAATATCAGTAAATATACATAAAAAGTATTATACAACTGGATTTTTTACTTACACTCATATAAGGACCTTCACATTGCAGCCTGTTCTTAATCAGCTTAGATAAAGCATCATAAGCAATAAATTCGTTTAGGAATGTCTTCATTCCAATCAGCTCCGCCACACGATGAGCGTCTTTCCATTCTACGCCCATCATGAAAGCAAAAGGCATAAAGACGTAGGAGCAAATAATTTCAAAGCTTAATTGAGGATAATTAACCATAGCACCGAGCCACCCTAATACAGCATTCAAGAATTTAAGAGCAGACAAAAATGCTATTATATTTGCAGCGATGTTTGCAACAAGAGGAATAGAAGCAGATGCACCACCAGAAGCCGCTTCAATTATGTTTCCTTCAGTGCTATCATTAAAAAAGTAAAGAAATTGTTACGATAATAGTAACGCTATTACTTTTAAATAATAATTAATACAATATCAGCGACCATTCACAAACCTATCGGCAATATTAATATCTAAATCTCCATCTAGGTTCTCGATGTCTTTCTCTAACTCAGGATACATTAATTTTGAAATTGCTAAAGCAGCTGGTGCCGACATCACCGATGCAGTTAATAAATGAGCGGCTGGAACACCAAAGGCAATAAAGGCACCCAATACACTCCCCGCAATAGTTGCCATACCGCCAGTCATAACAGCGTGAAGTTCTGAGACTGTCATATATTGTATGAAAGGTCGGATCAGCAATGGCGCCTCCGTTTGTCCTATAAAGATATTTCCAGCAGCGTTTAGTGATTCTGTTGCTGAAGTCTTCATCGTTATTTGCATAAGCCAAGCTATCCTTGTAATAATCCATTTCATGACACCGAGATAATATAGAACAGCGATGGTGGCGCTAAAGAAAACCACAATCGGAAGAACCTATCGAATATGTCAAATATAGAATTAAGCATCACTCTTTACCAGTTCACGTTATTTTACATGTGAATACAGATATGAGTAATTATAGTGCAAACTTACAGCGAAAGCGAAGTAGTGGTTTGTAAATGTCTTCTCGCCAAAAACGAATGCAGCACCAGCAAATGTATATGAAAGAAACGCTTCAACCTGACTACCAATAAAATTGAAAACTGTGTACCCAGCATGCGTACGAAGGATTAAGATGCCAAGAATAAATTGCAATCCAATACCCCACAATACTTGACGCCAGTAAACCTTGTTAACAAAAATGCAATAATGTACATTAAAACTTACGAGAATTGATCAGATAGATGCAGTATTTTAATATCGTATAATCAATTAATGAAGTTCATGACAAATAACTTACTATCAACGATATAAACAGTACTAACCTTTTGTCGATTTTTGGAAAAGATGTAGCAAAGTAAAACATACATAACAAGACCGGCAAAGGAAATCAGGCGCTCAGGTTGACGTCCTGTATCGAATATCAGCCAAAACACCAGAAAGGCGAGAATGCCCAAATATACCAACCTATTAAATTCAGTAAATGTCAAGTTATAGTTAGCAGTTTTACATAAAAAGTCATTCTATAATAAACTAACCATTTCAATATCCACCACTTCTCGTCTACAAAATTCAAGATAGGTTTAAAGACGGCATTGTAAATCGCACCACCATAGTTATCGCGGATATACGCGTATATCAGATAACCAATTACGGTTACCGTAATAATAAGTAATGGCAACGTTTTCGGAAAATTCAGGATTAATCCAGCGATAAGGAAGGCAAAAAATGCGCCAATTAGTAATAGATAAAAGTTGATGCGAATGACTTTTTGATGCTTATTATAGAATTCTTCGCAGGGTGATGGTTTTCCATCTTGCTCTACATTAGTATGTCCGTTCGCCTTAGACCAATTCTTAACTTTGCCAAACAATCCCCTCCGGCTATTACTCATTTGCTCCTCACCATTCCCAGCAACAACGATAGCTTCCGGAATGCATTCCACAGAAACTTTGTCACCTTGCAAAGAAGCAACGGTCTGAAATAGTAATGTTCGAGTGAGTCACGTGTAAAACTATACAGTAGTACTGTACAAAATCAATTAAATCTAGTGGACAGCTTCAGAACTTACAGATTTGCCATGCATCGAAGATACTTTTGATGCATTAGAAGAAGTCGACGGGCGGCGTACTTCATCGATACGATCGTAACTGGGTAACATAACAACTGATGAGCGTCTTGAATTTTTCCCCTCTGCTATCGAGTGTACAGACTCCATCGAACGATGTCGTGCAGCATCTGTCAACTTGGAATTGGTTGAATGTGCAGATGGGCGCCTAGAATTATTGCTGTGATGCGAATGAATTGAAGTATTGGAAGACCGATGTTCCTGATCTTTCTTATCGAAATCGAGATGATTTGACGACATATTCAAGCCTAATAGATATTATTATAATCATATGAAGTCAGGTGCTGATAACTTTACGAATATGTCAATAAGATACTGTATATATGTTTGTACAATAAAGAGAATCTAATCAGAAAATCGTAGATATTACCAAACTAAAATCGTAGTTAAATTAACAGATTATAAAATTTGACAGTATCGATATTCCACGCCTGCCGTAGAAAACATAAAAATTTTCAAGTCGAAACAATGCAAAGGACTCTATCAGGTATCGATAAATGTTGAGAGTCACGGTAAGGGCGGTGTAGATATAGCAATGCTATATTTGGTTATTGGAACGTCCTAAATATTATAGTATCTATTTAACGAGCATCGACAATTGTTGACATTTTTTAAAAACACTTTGAATCGTAATGCAGATGTCAACACAACATCGGTTCATTGCCAACAAAAAAAATACACATACTTGTATTGCAGCAATGTTAATAGTTAAAAATATAACAACAAAGAAACAACCCACTGCAATGCTGCCATCTTAAAGACGGAGTGTTATCACATACTCTAAACTTCTATACATACAGCTACTTTAACTTGGAATCCCCGATTGTATTTAAATACTTCAGTAGTATAAAAATAAGCAATCATAATTAATCACAAAAGCTAACCAGGGTACAAAGACCAAGTTGTCGTACTCCTCTGTAATTTCTCGTAAATGATCTGGCAACAGGTGAATAATGCTATTGTATAGTACCTTTATTAAAAGCGTTCTCTTAGCATTCCCTACTAGTACTAATACATAGTAAGTAGGATCGTACATTAACAAATCAAGTTTAAGTCTTTAATTATCAATGAAAGATCATAATCCTTGTTTTCCTACGGAACATTTAGCCTACCTAAATACGGCAAGCCCAACCCCTCCTATCCATTAAACTATAATTATAATTACAGTAATTGCTATCTTTAGTAAGTTTTGACATTCCGCCCAATCACAATGGGTTGAATACATACAGTACTGTACCTTGCCATATGGTCGCATGATATGGGAGGATACGGTACTGCGATCATGCACATGCCAACAGTTAAGACAATGCTAAGATCGATGAAGTATTCCTGTAGTTAGTTGCAGTATTTACTCCAATAAATTACCGCGACAATGTATTCACTGGTTGTGGATATAAACAATCTCGAAATAGAGATCGTAAATCTCTGGATATTCCTACATTACGGTGAACATATTGCGACATAAAGGCTGCTGCAGCATCAACACTATTATCTGAGATCGCCTGAATAGGAAAATATGTTTCAACTCTATCGAAAATTGATAATTATGACATTACCCATGTTTAAAAATTAAACATACTAGAATAACTTTGTTAATAAGTTTAACGGAAAGACTGCTAGGATTGTGTCTATATACGCATCAGCAAGTCGTGATAAAATAAATGGGATAAAATTTTAAAATTTCCTTCAATTAACGCTCATTGAAACTCTTCTGCCTGTACTTTATACCAGGTAACTCTAGTTCATTCATTCATATCACCCTTAGTGCCTATGTCAAAAATGTTTTCTATATGCAAGACCCGAAATCATTGATAGTTTACATGAATGCATAATAATCAGTCTTGTAATGTTAAAATCACCCATCATTCCAGTAATTCTCATTCGCAAAATCTGTGCATTACGATAATCACTGATGACATTTGCAATCAATACGGTGAGATTTTAGCAGCATTTTCAACAAGTGTACATTATAATTAAGGTTAAGTTCAAAGCTCTTAGCTGAGTACTACCGTATGATCCAACTTTTCTGCAATGAAAAATATTTAATTCTAATCCCTTCGTTGTACTGTACTGTACGTTATGTCAACATTCCTTGCATACTCTTATCCAAGTAAGATAATGAATAACAATAGCAATCATCAACAATAACACCACAATAGACGCTGAACGTTAGAGTCTTAATGCAGTCCATTATGGTCATACTGTAGGACTGGAAGTCTACGTTTACTCAAATTATGTTCATATTTCTACTCTAGAGTACATCAACAAAGTTTTACACAGTAAACACAGTATGTATAACCCTATGGTGCCAGTCTGCTAGATACTAGCATCTCCACGCATCTTTTCTTGAGTGCAGTATTACTTTCTGCAATATTAAAAATGCCTAAAAAATTGAGTACATACAGTACGCTATCATTCAAAATTTCAATTTTCTGGCAATAGCTGTAGACTACTAATCGTAAATCTATTTCAACTAATTTGCTATGATTCACTACTACGTTTGTATAAATATGTTCATGCAGGTAGATATTGAATCTAAAACTAAACATTCTTCCCGCCCAATCTGAAAAAGAGTCTAATCCTGGTCCCGGTACGGTCTATACAAATAGGCTATTTCACTGGTACAGTACAATACTGTATACTGAAAGTAGTCATAGTTTTTTATATTTACTAAGCTAAAAACCCTCTCATTTATTACAATTCTCTCAATACATACTTGAATACTGTAGTATGATTAAAAGAAAAGAAAAGAAAAGAGAACGAACATACAGTAATATACAGTATATATACATGACAATGCCCGTGGAATATACCAGTATTGCACATATATCTATATTTTATTAAGCAGATTATATATTATATATATATATTGGTATATTTTATGAAGCAGATTCTTTTTCAGCGCCCATAAAAATAAAAAGTGTACACGGCTACACCCCCAAATCCATTTCAACAACAATAACTTGCATTGTTTGGTAATCGTATTATGAGACTCAAGATAAAAGGTACCGAACCGTCAACACAGCAGCGAATAGTAAACTGCATAGCAATAAACTTATTCATCTTAACTGTACCGCCCGCTAGCTGTCTGAACTGTCCTGCCGGCAAACTGATACCGGTACTGTACACTGTATAGTATCGGACTGTACTGTATTGAAGTTATTCTTAGTAAAAAAGACAGAAGTCACGTAAACACAATCTGCACGCGAGTGAAACGTAAAGTGCCGTACTGGTACCACCATGGTACTACAGTCTTTGTTCAAAAACATGAAATATTTTTCATTTTCTCCTTTACTATTTTCGTTCCGGTAAAAACAATCTTCCCATTCAACACTATTAAATTAGACTGGGCTTACTGAGTTAATGTGTAATACTGTATTACTGCGTAAAAAAAAAAACCAAAACCTGTATGTACAGTTCGATAAAGATAAATTTTTAACTTCTCTAGGCTCTAGTACTACTGTATAGGGTACACTGGTACAGTACATTCCAATCCAAACAATTAGTATACTGTAGAAAGAGAACAGCTTTTACTTCTAAACATATTTCATAAATCAACGCTCTCGACAAAGTAGCACGTTTGAGTGCGCTTATCATACCGTAAAACTTCGGTTGTCATGAGAATCAATAACCTTAAACTACGGATAAACATCATAAAGACTGTATATCGTGGAGTATTTTAAAGTTTCAAAACGTCTAATGATCAACAACATAAAAATACTGTACGACAATATACTCTACCGTAAGCACGTGTATACTGTAGGTACAGCAATGTCTACTACGGTATGTCCCCATGTGGACTGAACACCAAAGTTCAATATTAACCTTAAGCCATCGAATTTCAAATCCCAATAAAATAAAATGGAAGCATTAAAGCGAGTGCAATACTAACTACCTCAGTAGAACTCGTACAACGAAATTAATCACCATGAGTTTTAATTTGGAATTATTTTAACGGTTTACACTTATATCGTTAGTACGTACTCATTGGCACCGGAAATTACCGCATTTCTAAAATGTACATTCTCTTAAAGAATTTCTACATTTGTAGAAAGCAAAGCAAAAAAGTACAGTTGTACCATCGATTTTACTGTACGTTTACTGTACAACATTACTACAGACGACATTTGCTAAACAGTATTCTTTATCTTAATACAATACAGTATGTAGAATCTACGGTAATTGATATGACAACCGCTATAAACCAGCAAAATCTATGGTATACTCATATGTTAAAGTAAAGTAACAAAGCATATGAAATTATGACAAGTCGAGTAGTAGCTTTCCAGATGCTATAGAAAATACGTCCCCTTAATATACAGTAACCGAAAGTTGCGTGATAAAACTACAGTACACTGTAAAAAAATAATATTCCCTTCAATTTTGTTTAATTGCTTATTATAACTACTATTTTAACACTGGTTAGTGCAGTAGTAGAACACACTAAAAAGTTTTTAAGAATCAACATCGAGTGAGATTTAGTCAAGGATGAGAATGAACTATTTGCCTATGCTACTATGAATCTTTCAGCTATACAAGGCTGATTAATACAAGCGTAGCAAGCAATGCTCCGCCATATATTTAGTCAGCGCAAAAATTGTAAGACGTTGTTATAAGTGGAAATGATAAACTATACAAACAATCAATAATTAATTATTAACCTCTTCGTGAAGCAATCTTATTGCTAGCGCATCTACTAGCTATCATCGGACATGATGTACCTAGTAAGATGGCAACATACTGTATTTATGTCTAACATCAAACAC